ACACGCACTCATCCACTGCACCCACTACCAAACACACAGAACCACACTACAAACCAACCTCAATCTAAATAAGGTTCCTACTCTAGATGAAATACTAAACCCTCAAAATAAACTAGAAAACTTCAAGGCCCTAGGCGTATTCCTAATCAAAACAGGCCTAATTAAGCGCATCTAAAAACTAATTAATCTACCAATCCCAAATCCAATAAACATACAAACACCCACCTCACCCGGCTCCCTTAGTTCCCTCCTCCACCCACCTCGGCATTTATTCCAAATTTTAAAATTTTAAAAAAATCGATATAAGCAACCCCTAAAAGCCCCCTCTTGGGTTGCACACACCACTTTCACCCTTCTCGGAATACACTAAATGGCCTGGCCAGGCCCGTGTGCGAAATACGCTGCAGTCGGAAAGCGCACGTTAAATCTTCTATATCAGTCAGTCCCTCATTCAGTTTTTAGAAACAACAGACCCCGAAACATTCTGTCAAAACCTAACTAACTTCATAATCAACGCAGCCAAATCCGCAATCCCCTTCAAATCATCCAACCCAGGAAAACCCACTGTCCCTTGGTGGAATGAGGAAATAGAGCTAACTAGACTAAAACGCAAATCAGCTTTCAACAGAGCTAAACGAGACCCCTCTCATCTCAAAACAGCTCATGAACTAAACCACCAAGTCCAAAACCTAGTTAAAACTGCTAAAACCAAAAACTGGAAAAAATTCTGTGAGGAGCTAAACCACGCCATCCGAGGCATCAAACGGCACAAAAAAAGCCCCAATATAAACAACTCAACAAACCCCACCCAAAAGGCCAACAACCTAGCCAAACACTTCTCTAAAGTTAGTAGCAACAGTAACTTCAGTAAGAAATTCCAAGATAAACTAAAAAAAGAAATAAAATTCTCCAAAGAAATCAGACAAGACAACCTAGAAATAAATCAACCTTACACCATAGAAGAACTAAAACACGTACTAAACAATAGAAAAAAAGGAACAGCTCCTGGCCTAGACCTCACCTCTTACCAAATAATCAAACACTTACCTACCAAACTACTCCAAACTTTACTTAAACTATACAACCTAGTTTACCTAAACGGACAGGTCCCATCCTCATGGAAGGAAGCTCTAGTAATCCCAATACCTAAACCAAATAAACCAGCAGATCAGGCAAACTCCTATAGGCCCATCTCCCTAACCTCAAATCTCTGCAAAATAATGGAACTTATGACTAAAAATAGGCTACAGCACTACCTAGACCAAAACAACATCATAAACCCCGACCAAAGCGGCTTCACTCCTGGCCGATCAACCCTCGATAACCTTGCCCGACTAGAACAGGATATAAAAACAGGACAGCTAAACAAGCAATACACCATAGGCATATTCCTCTACTTCTCTAAAGCTTTCGATATGGTATGGCACCACGGGCTAATACAAAAACTAAAAAAATAGGACTAAAAGGCCAAATAATAAACTTCATCCAAGATTTCCTAAACAATCGCAAAATTACCGTGGGTATAGACCATACGCTATCGGACCAGTGTCCCCTAGAAAATGGCACTCCCCAGGGCAGCATTCTCAGCCCAACCCTCTTCAATATAATGATAAATGATCTATTCGAGGGCTTATCCCCTAAACTAAACACTTCAAAATTCGCGGATGATGGAGCCCTATGGATCCGCACAAAAAGCATTAAAATGGCAGACAACTTAATCCAAAAATCTCTAAATAAAATACAACAATGGGCAGACAAATGGGGCTTCTCCCTTAACTCAGATAAAACAACAGGAATAGTATTCAAACATAAAAACATGAAACCTGCCTACCCAATCCTCCAGCTAAACAACCAAACAATCAAATTCCAAAAACAAACCAAATTCTTAGGACTTATTTTCGATCAACACCTCACCTGGGAGGCTCACGTCCAAAACCTAAAAACTAGATGCAGCAAAGACCTTAACACATTAAGATGTCTCACCGGCTCTAACTGGGGAGACTCCAAAGATACCCTCCTCTCACTATATACAACACTAATTAGATCAAAACTAGACTACGGCTGCGCCATATACAATACCCTAAACAACTCTCTATCTAAAAAACTTGACTCAATACAATACCAAGCCCTTAAACTAATTACACGCACCCAACATGGCACCTCCTATACACCTCACTTCAGGCCCTTACAGGAGAAATGCCACTAAATCTACGCAGGGAACATCTAAGCCTTAATTTCTGGGCCGCGTCCCAAACAAACCCTCTTATCGAAAACCTAATTAACCAAAACATAAGCCCAAGAAACCAAGCTCTAGCTCGCAAACACCCCTTACTCACCCCAATATCCCAAAGAATAACTAACTACCTCAATGAACACCAAACTCAAAATCTTAAACAAAACTGCAAAAAATCAAATATCTTCACCCCTAAACTCAAAATACCCCAAATAGACACAACGCTAACTAACCAAATAAATAAACAAACCGACCCAAACATAGCTAAAACCACCACACTTTCTTACATACACGAAAATTGGCCAAATTGGTGTCACATATACACTGATGGATCTTCAGACCCGATCTCCAACCACACAGGTTTCGGAGTCCATACTACACAACCAGTTATATCCACACAATCCTACCGACTCCCTAACAACCAATCTATATTCACAGCCGAACTTATGGGCATGGCCTCAGCCCTGCATAACCAACAATCAAAAAAAAATAAAAAAATCCTAATTCTCACTGACTCGCTTAGTGGGTTACAAGCCCTCCAAAACAAAAATACCAAAAAACGACCTAAATTAATAAACCAAATACTTAAAAGCTCCAACGACCTAACAAAAGCAGGCAAACAAATAACCTTCTTGTGGATCCCCGCCCACGTAGGAATTTACGGCAACGAAAGCGCCGATAAAGCAGCTAAATTATCTCTCAAAATACCAGAAATAAGCCTAAACCTACCCATCTCAAAATCAGAAATTAAAAGTGTAAACAAACAAAAAATAACCAAAAAATGGCATAATCAATATCAAAACTCAAATAGCCAAATCCAAAAAGTGCTCAGAAAACCACTAGCAAAACCTAAAATCCTACACCCCTCTAAAAAAATTGACAGATTAATTACAAAACTCCAAACAGGACACACGAACCTAAATAACCACCTAAAACAACTTAAAAGACACACCACGGGCAACTGCCCCCACTGCAAACAACCCGAAACCACAGAACACGCACTCATCCACTGCACCCACTACCAAACACACAGAACCACACTACAAACCAACCTCAATCTAAATAAGGTTCCTACTCTAGATGAAATACTAAACCCTCAAAATAAACTAGAAAACTTCAAGGCCCTAGGCGTATTCCTAATCAAAACAGGCCTAATTAAGCGCATCTAAAAACTAATTAATCTACCAATCCAAAATCCAATAAACATACAAACACCCACCTCACCCGGCTCCCTTAGTTCCCTCCTCCACCCACCTCGGCATTTATTCCAAATTTTAAAATTTCAAAAAATCGATATAAGCAACCCCTAAAAGCCCCCTCTTGGGTTGCACACACCACTTTCACCCTTCTCGGAATACACTAAATGGCCTGGCCAGGCCCGTGTGCGAAATACGCTGCAGTCGGAAAGCGCACGTTAAATCTTCTATAGCAGTCAGTCCTCATTCAGTCTTGCTTGACAACGGTATAAGGATCTATACCGGGGAAACGTCGCTTTTTACAGTATTAAAGAAGTTGTTATCCATAAAAAATTGTGTCTATGTTGTCATCCGCCAACTTCTAAGTAATGTCTATCAAACAAGTTAACACAAACATAGTTTTCTCGGTTCGAGAAACAAAATATCCGATAAAAACAATCAGGGGTAATGCATATCTTAATATTAGGGTATCACATCAGTACAATAGAGAATTACAACTTTTTGACATAATGCAAGTGTTATACTCAAGGGGAATGATGGCCAATGTTATGCGGTAATTATAGTTGTATGTTAGCGCTGTATACTGGGGTAGGGCAAGAGACACAATTAAGTTACATAACATAAGTTGGCTGCAGTTTTACGCAAGTGGTTTTAATGCCGTTGGATACCTGTTACAATAAAGAAAGAAAACACAAAAAGTACGTATTTGTTGAATACAATTTTAAGAGAGTGATGCAATAGATATTTTAAAAAAAATGTTTGGTTGAGGGAAATATATGGCGCTGTATCAGAATGAGTGGTCAGCCGGGGTTTTAATAAGTCAGCAATCATATCATATGCAAGCAAAGTGGACCACATCAGTGTTTTGACATTAAATTCTAAAACTTACTGGATTGGGATGGTAATTTAAACGATGATTTTAGAGTATTTACTATTTGAGTTATTTAGTATGTGATTAGGGGCGGTCGGGTAGCCTAGTGGTTAAAGCGTTCGCTCGTCACGCCGAAGACCCGGGTTCGATTCCCGACATGGGTACAATGTGTGAAGCCCATTTCTGGTGTCCCCCGCCGTGATATTGCTGGAATGTTGCTAAAGGCGGCGTAAAACCATACTCACTCACTCACTAGTATGTGATTAGCTGCGACTTGATTAAATTTACATGAGTTAACATTTAAAGTAGGACTGCATACAATGCAGAAGAAAGTCAATCACCGCATGGTTTATTTTACTAGGTCATTTGGTTGAGGTACCAGTACATGTACAGTTTAAGAGAAATAGGTGGCCAATAAATTACGATAACTATATTTGTATGCCGTAAGCGCAGCATACTTGGGTAATACGGGAGACTCGATTAAGTTACATAACATAAGCTGCTGCACGCTTTACGCACGCGACCTCACTGCGAGTCTGTCGGCTGTTTTCATACCGTTGGATACCCATTACAGAAGAAGAAGAAGAAGAAGAAAATTATTTTATTTTCGTGTCACACACTGTACAGCAGTGACAATAAAAATACACAAATAGTGTGTACAGTGTCCGGCCGTTATGGCCTACGAGACAAAGTGAGAAATATCACAGTACATACATATACATAAAAATGAGTTATCACCAGTTATCACCGGTTATCGCCAGTTATCAGAACATTCTGATACTAAGATACATGGAACTAGGCTGGTAGAGACGAAAGACACAGTTGTCTTCGCTCATACATGTGGTGAAGAAGCGCGGCTAGGGGTGTGACCACCTTATTGTTCCGCATAAAGAACACGGTCTGATCGGCAGCGGACATTACAATAAAGAAAGGAAACACAAAAAGTAAGTATTTGTTGAATACAATTTTAAGAGAGTTATGCAATAGATGTTTTAAATAATGTTTGGTTGAGGGAAATATATGGCGCTGTATCAGAATGAGTGGTCAGCCGGGGTTTTAATAAGTCAGCAATCATAATATTATTATATGCAAGCAAATTGGACCACATCAGTGCTTAGACATTGAATTCTAAAACTTACTGGATTGCGATGGTAATTTTAAACCATGATTATAGAGTATTTACTATTTGAGTTATTTAGTATGTGATTAGCTGCGACTTGATCAGTTTGTGTAAGTTAATACTTAAAGTATAATCCTTTATGTTTTGATCATAAGTTACCAACATGTAACACATGGTAAATTGACATGGTCCAAGCTTGCAAACACTGGCGTCATCATTTTTTACCTTTTATGCCCAATGGATTTTACTTCGTTGTAAATCGAAACTGGTTATTCTCTCGTGTTAACGTTTTATATTTCAACAACAATGGTTTCCATGACATGAGTATACGTATTGACTGATACCTTCTATCTGTCGTCAACCTGCACCTACTTATATAGTGGAGGGACGCATAGCAAACTCTGATTGGTTTAGTTTTGAAAACATTATTTTAAGGAAAAATTACCGTGAGACAGCACGTTCTCAGCTACAGTCCAATCTAATTTAAATCAGATCTAAGTTATCGCTATCGCCAAACAAAGATCTGAGGACATCCCATTACGGGTCACGTCAGAACGACCTTTCGCGAACTTTGACCGACCACTGAACCCAATAACAAGAAGTCGATATCAGCCTATAAGAAAGCAGCTTCCTCGAGCTTTACGGCACTCGTCTCAACCTGGCGACTTCCATTTCAGACTACGCTTGAAAAATATATTGACACAGTTCTCGATTAAAATTTTGAAAACTAAAAGAACAATCCGGAATGTCAAATATATGGTTGTGATTGTATGGCAGTGCTTCCCACGTACTGCGCAACGCCTCCTCCGTTCAAATGTTTATCCAACGGAAGCGAGAGACAGACGATAATTTTGACGGAATCAGTCGTACGAGCCGTAACTGTCGTTCGGAATACCCCGTGTTAACGTTTTCGAGGTTGCATGATTAGAAAACACATTCCGAGTGTCACTTTCATGATCTGGTAAGTGACGCTTTCATTGGTCGGATGAAAGGTCGTTCTGACGTTATCCGTAATGGGATGTCCTCAGATCTTTGTTTGGCGATAGCGAGAACTTAGGTCTGATTTTGATGAGATTGGATACATTCATACATAGTCATGATGACCCCAGTTGTACAGGAGACTAGCATAAAAACACACGACCTGTTTAGCTGTACAGATGACGGGACAGTTCACAATCCTTCCCCACAGACTTTCTGGTCCTATTAAATAACGCCCGGGGGCGTCCGCAAACGTCCGGGAGCGTCCGGGAGCGTCCGGGCAATGGCAGGGAGCGTCCGGGAGAATGATACTAAATAATAAAGTGTATTCTATATAATTGTGTTCTTGTATTAATTATACAAAATAACATATAGCTGAATTTTTTATATATTTACCCCTATTCTTTTTAAATGGTGAATCTGCGAAGCAAATACGATTTGATTTTATTCGAACTGACGAGGTATTCGTAACGTAGGCTTTGAAGGATACAATGTAAATTGCTTATGGAACAAAAATAATGTTCTTTTATCGTGTCATATTCTGTATACTATTTCATAAGTAATACTGAAAGACAGACGTTTTCAAAAGTTCATGCGTGGCCCCAGATGGTTCACTGAGTGTAAAACGTCCGGTACTATAGCGTCTTTCTCCTAATGATGAAAGGTATGATGGGCACATCAGAAACCTGTGATTGTGGGTTCGAATCTCAGTTCTCCCTGAATATGTTTCTAGGTTTGTCTGCACCAAACCCATGCCCGTGGTTTTCACCGAAGTAGTAAACGTCAGATACCTGCATCAATTGATATGGCCCACCACGCGTTTACGATGTGATAATCCTATAAATCCGCGGATGATTCGTAACTTACCCGCGGATTATCCAGGGATTATTCGCAGTTTTACCCCTCTGCAAATGGTACTTTTGCACATAGAAACACACAGATGCATATTTCAATATCATGTCTTGTTTCGTTGTTGTTATATACAGTTTATACCACTTGTCTCATGTCGTTTATTTAGTGAATGAAAACGCATGACATGCTTCCCAATGTATTCAACCATTGTGTCCGGTTTGCATAACTCCTGGGTCCACTTGCACAAAGCGATCTTAGTGATCATCTTAGCATGCATGGTAATGTATGTGGGAGTCGTATGCCATACACGTATACACTGTGGTATCAGTGTTTGTTATTTCGTACACAGGACTAAAGATGGGACTGCTGCCGGCAGTTGTAAGCGCCACCATCATTGTAGCCATCCCTGTCATTCAAATAGGTACGTGGTCCCTTAATCATTGTGGAGAGAGAGAGAGAGAGAGAGAGAGAGAGAGCGAGAGCGAGAGAGAGAGAGAGAGAGAGAGAGTGTTCAGCTGTATAACCTATATGTGTTTCTAACAAGAAGACATATATTAATCGATTCGAACATTCTTTTCCAGGCATTGTGTACAGAATTATCTGGATGCCGGACAAACCGGAAGTCGACAAAAACAATTGTGAAAATTCATGTTTTGATACCATCTTTAAAGGTAAGCTTCTAATACGACTCCATTAATAATTTAGAATGAGAAGTAAGTGTGTGTGAGTCTGTGTCTGTGTCTGTGTGTGTCCTTTTCAAGCGTCCCCTGTCTTATTTCCGGTTACATCGACGTTAAACTGCTCACAAGTATCGTGTGTAAGACCATTTCTATTGGTCGGTCAATGACCGTGAAATTTACGCTCAATTCATACAATATTTGGCCCTCACTCTATGAAGGTTCACACTCCAATGGTTGGTTGGTTGGTTTGTTGTTTGGCGCCGCACTCAGCAATACTCCGGCTATATGACGGCGGTCTGTAAACATTCCACGCAATGAACACTTAAATCTTGAAATCAATTCCTAAATGAAAAACTCTCTTCATTTGCGAAACGGAATATCTGGTGGGTAAATTGTTTGGCTTAACGTGGCTTGAAACAGTATTCCAGCTTTATCATGGTGTGTTTACTTATGCGAGAGGAAAGGGCGTTGCTAGGTGACAGGCTGCTGAGAAATGAACCCCATCATGCACCGCGGTCCTGATCATGGTCATATTCGACGCCCTGAATATAACCATGCGCTTCGAATCTGTGGAGGTTTTTTCCAAACATGCGGTGTATTAACTGGAATACTGTTAAAAGCAGCGTTTAATCCCGTCACTTCGGGACTGTCTCGAGCATGAATGGACACGCCTATTCGTCACCACTCGCCCCTTTCGGTAACCTGCAAGAAGACTCGTCCCCTTATCGATGAATGTTGATGCGTAAATACGACAAACCAATCAGAATACGCGTATGATTTCAAGTACTTCGTCAAAGAATCCCTCAGAAATAATTTTTGATTTTACATGTCTTGCATCTAAAAATATACCCAAGACACCGTAAAATGTGTTCAATCATATTGTATAATTCCGCACGTCCCGATGTGCTTTAAATTGCATCTGAAATATATATAATACATGGGGACATAGATGTGAACCATTACGCAACGAGTTGACAATAGTTTTAGGTATGCCCGTTTGCGCTAAGACGGAACCCGGTCGCTAAGATGGCCATGAGAAGGGCACGAGTCGCTATTCGGCTTGTCCCGGAATAACACGAGTTGGTGCGACACGCCGCGACACAACTGATTTACTGTTCAAAGGGGCGTAAAACACAACTCACTCACTCTCTCATGAATATTGGTGGTTTTCCATCTTAACCTCTCTTTTCAGGGGTTGGTGGGGCAGCCTCGTCGTAAAAGCGTTCGCTCTTGAAGCTGAAGGCCTGGGTTAAATCCTAACAATTTTGCTGGAATATTACTAAAAGCGGCGTAAACGTTTACTCACTCACTCATGTTTTCAGGCTCCTACGAGAAGAGCGGAAGTAAGCATGGGTACAAGCACGTGTACTTCAACGCCACACGGCAGACCATGTGCGTGTGGGTCATCACCTTTGTGTATGTCATCCTTGGATACGAAGCACTGAAGCTCTTTTTCTCCTTCCTCTTCTCTCGCTCCCTCCGACCAATCATGGCGATTCTCTTCTTCGCCAGTGTCTACCCACACGTCTACGCCTGGTGGGCAATATTCAACTACTACAACGACGATTTCTACCTGATGTTCAACCACCAAATATTCTTCTCAGTCACAGAAATGCTGTCGACGTACGCAATCTTGAAATCATGCGACAGACACTCTGAAAGGCGTGTTGTGCTTTATAATTTAATCATAGGGGCTGCTCTTGCACATGTTATTATTGGCAGTTTGGACCAATTCATTTCTCATATTATACACAAGGAGGGCAAACCTCACCAGGAATGGCGGGACATCGGGCTCCTTGTCCCCGACATCATGATGGTAGTACTTCCGGTTGTTGATTACATGAAAGGGGAGATAACTCTGAGACCCAGATATATATTGTCGGATCTACGTGAACGTTTCACCAAGGATAAATCATCAAGGACAAATGCTTTAATTTTAGTAGGCTATGTGGCCGGTTTGCTAATAACAGGGAAACTATTATAAGTAATTATACATTAAAGTGGCCTATTAATGTAACTAGTATAGGTCAAATAAGCCCTGCCCGAACTCCGTACACGAATTTTGTGCGAACCCGAGTGAAGCAATGTGTAGAGCAGGCGCACGTCAGATGCTGAGCATGTTGCACGAGACATATTGCGATTGATGGGACCTCTGCATTCACGGGTGATGGTGGGTGCGTACTGAAAACAAACCCGTGAAATTTGACCATATTAAAGCACGTCACCTAAACAGTTAAATGACGATATTTAAAGAAACCAATTGTTGTCTAGTTTTTTGAGGGGCAAAAGAAAGCATACCTATTATACCTATGAAATTGAAAATCGAACGAACTGTGGTCAAACTTGATTGTCTATTTAACCATCACTCATTCCTGCAACAGTTTGTAAAAAGTAATCTGTTGCTGGGTAATTATGGGCAAAAATAAATTGGTGAAGACAGGGGTTAGAGTGAGTGAGTGAGTGTGATTTTACGCCGCTTGTAGCAATATTCCAGCAATATCACGGCGGGGAACACCGGAAATGGGCTTCACACATTGTACCCGTGTCGGGAATAGAACCCGGGTCTTCGGCGTGACGAGCGAACGCTCCTTACTGGGGTAAGAAATGAACACCAGACAACACGACACCTACCATGTTTGAAATGTAAATGTGTGCCGAAACAATACAAATTTATATGATTTTCAAAGAATAGATGCCTAACATACACATAAGAGGTTGTGCTATATGCGAATTATTATTATTATTTTTTAATTAAATCTTATTAAAAAAGATAAAACCATGTTGAAGTATTGCTGGAGGGCTGACTAAAAGCTCGAGTACAGTTCATTTGTTGGATATGATATCGTTGAAAATCAAACACATGATATATTATCAATAAGACCCGTGAAGACCCGTAAAAGGCGACTATGCTTGTCGTAAGAGGCGACCTACGGGATCGGGTGGTCAGACTCGCTGACTTGGTTGATGCATGTCATTGATCCCAATTACGTTGATCGATGCTGATGATATTAATCACTGGATTATCTGGTCCAGACTCGATTATTTACAGACCGCCGTCATATAGCTGGAATATTGCTGAGTACCGCGTTAAACAACAAACAAACAATACCAGGCACAGAACACGTCCCGAACACAATATTGCTTGTTGTAAGATCCGGGCAAAGAGCATGATGTGGTCAGGCTCGCTGACTTGGTTGATGCATGTCATCGATCCCAATTACGTTGATCGATGCTGATGATATTAATCACTGGATTATCTGGTCCAGACTCGATTATTTACAGACCGCCGTCATATAGCTGGAATATTGCTGAGTACCGCGTTAAACAACAAACAAACAATACCAGGCACAGAACACGCCCCGAACACACTATTGCTTGTTGTAAGATCCGGGCAAAGAGCATGAGGTGGTCAGACTGGTTCACTTGGTTGATTGCGTGTCATCCTACCCCGACGGCGTGCTGCGTTGCTCATGAGTTTAACCATTAGTTTGCATTTTCAAGACACGATTATGTACAGGCCGCCGTTTTATAGCTGGTATATGCATATAGCTGGCGACGTTAAACAAACAAAAACACATCTAAGGAGATAGACTAAAATCTAGTCTCTGAAATGAACATATCGTACATAAAAAAACCAGTTGTTCAGTTATCTTAATAAAAATATAATAAAAAGGAGCCCAGTGACTCTCTTCATTTTCAGATGATACTGCAGTGATCTAGACTTGCCAAACATTATAGACTTGCATGGGGTTTATTTGATATATATTTGTATCAGGGTCTGTAAGACAGACTACTAAGGAGACAAAGACTGTTTTCCTTGAATGATAAGTATAGATTTAGTCAGTTAGAGATCGAGTTCTGTTTCCGCCGCATTGTTCAGTATTTCGGTAATATCAAGGCGTGTCTGCTTGATGTGGGAGGGAAGCCCGAAGGGACGCAGCCGCTGGACGGTTACCATTCGGTGAAACCCACGAGCACGGGTATGGTGCTGACAAACCAAGACACGTGATCAAGGGGAATCTGGTTTTGGCTCTTCATGGGGGCGTAGCTCTGCATAGCGAATTTAGCGTCTTGGACGAACCCCCCCTGATGGGGAGAAACAAACAGACACAAGGTGCACTTTAGGGAACACGTGTCACATATTGAGAGGGGTTCGCTAACTTACATTTAGGCTTTAGTTTAACGATTAATACAGGACTAAAACTTGTTCTCCATCCCTTGTTAAACCGGCGTGTTCACGTTGTAACGCCAATGCACATCACTCACTCACTCACTAACAAACAAACAACCCTGGTCAACCACCAACCCACTCACTCGATCTTTCACTCACTGGGGAGCAGAAAGATGTTCACAAAACCAACACAATTTGAGGTGTACAGTTTATTTCGTGAAGCTGTAATCGAAACTACATTGGTATTAAGCTACATTGGTATTAAACTACATTGGTATTAAACTACATTGGTATTTAACTACATTGGTACACTGAGAGTATTTAAAACAGAAAATCAATGTTCTCAAGAGCAACTGTGACGAATCTAAATTCGACTGTAACTTGAGTAAGCAAACTTCATGATACATTTGTGTATGAGCGATATTTGTAAAACAACCTTCACCTTTGAATGCGCATACAATATTTGTTTGGACGATAAAAATATAAACTTTAAGGGTAGCGCAGGCGCAACCTACCCAGCGAACCAGTCTTGTCTAAACAGTTCGGTGTTTGTTGCTTAGCCCAGACATGATTTCTGATGCATGTACGCAACAACGTTGGACCCTGTGAATATATTCTGTTCAGTCCCGGATACATTACAGACAGGTAATAAAATATATAGACACCGGTAACTCGTATACAACTTTAGTAATGAAACCCGCATACGCAGACATGGAAGAGATAGCAGAGTGGTACGCAGCCACGACCATTAACAGGCTTTAACATTATATAACACATTGTCTGATTGACACTCAACAATGACAATGCATATTAAAAGGAAACATCATTATGAATTAAATTTGTAAAACATTTCAACCGTTGCCACAACGCCGTCAACAGCTGTATGACCTAAAGTAACTTGTGACAAAAAGACGTAAAAACTCCCTTTCTGGGCACAACACCAGTGTTATAACTGTGGCTTTGCAAAAGACATGTTACTCTAAATATAAAAAGATCATATAAGCATCGTTTTGTGATTAAACAGCGCATGGAATGAGTGATCGATGACTACCTTTAAATATATCCAACTCCCTGCAGCCTCTCGCATGTTTCGCTGCTGGGAGCCTATGTGCACGGTACCTAGGTTCCGCCAGAGAACTTGCCGACGAAGAGGTTGAGTTTGGAGACGTTGTCTCTGATGAAGAAGAGGAAGGGGTGGTCACAGCGGAACACCGGCGAGGGTGGCTGCATTCCTGCGAACGACCTCACCTCTGGAGAAGACATCATTTTAGTTACGACTTACTCGAGAGTGCAAAAAGCGAGGTGTGACTTAGTAATTGAATTTCAAATTTAGGGAAAAGATTAGTGTGAGTGAGTTGGGTTTTACGCCGCTTTGAACAGTATTTCAGTTGTATCAGGCGTGTCAGCTTGATGTGGATGGAAAGCCTACGAAGATGCAGGTCTTAGACGTTCACCACTTTGGTAAAAACCCACGAGCACGGATATGGTGCTGACAAAGCTAGAAACATAATCAGGGCGAACCGGCATTCGAGGTCTGGCGTGTCCAAGGGACGCAACTCTGCACAGCGAATTGCGGCGCCTTCGATGTTTACCACTTTGCTGAAAGCAACGAGCAAGGGTTGTTGATGACAGACCAGTGTCATTATCTGGCATATGAAACCCTGATGAGTGGATCCTGGCTCAGACAAGGGAGGCAACTCTTTTCGTGACGAGATGAAAGTTTTGATTAAAATAATAACATGAACGGAACTAGGAGCTGTCGGTGAGTTAGGTAAGTGGTGTGTGTGTGTGTGTGGGAGGGGTGTGTGTGTGGGGGGGGGGGGGGGGGGGGGGGGGGGGTGGAGGGTGGGGGGGGGTGGAGGGTGGGGGGGGGGGGGGGGGAGAGAGCGAGCTTGAATGTAAACATCACACATGTCATATTATTTTTATATTCATCTAACCCCTGTCTTAATACTTCTCGATTATCTTTCGCAACATAGTTTTCTTCCGTGAGGCCCGCGTGGTGACCCCGGCTTAGACCTGGGCCCCGGCAACCTAGGTTGATAGTGTGAGGGAGCATTATGGATCGGGAGGTCAGGCTCGATGACTGGTTTAATCATGTCAATTTGCTCCGGCTCGGGTGTTGCTTAACATCAATCACTGGTTCGCCTGGTCAAGACTCGGTTTTACAGGTTGATTATTACCGAGTGCGGCGTTAACAACCAACAAAAACAACAACAGAAGCATACTCACCTATAATAACAGCCGTGGCAGCCGCAGCCTCGCTACCCTCTTCGTTGACCTCTACGACAGCTTTGTGCAGGACGTCACTGATGTAGGCGTCGCTGGAGCTGGTGATGCCGGTGAAGTCTGCTAGTCCTGCCGAGAACGGTCTGGTCATCCCCATGGTTTGCAGAGCTTGCGTGACCGATAGTGACGTCTCCAGTTTAAACCTGGGGAGAAACACCTTCAGTTTGGCTGCGATGATTGTGTCAAGGGTGCTGGCGAGTATATCCGTCGTCAAGGCGTCTTCTATGGTGGTGAGGCCAGCTTCATCATCAGGCAGGATTATAAGCATGCTGAAACGACCATCTTCATAGGGCAACTCCAGCAAGCGAGCCGCATGACCAGGGACAGCCCCCACCTTGAAGTCAGCTTCAACCTCCATCATCTGAACGGGGACCTGTTCATTGGGTGTTTTCCTGAACAACTGTTCGCTGGTCATCTCAGGTGTGAAAGGTTTCTGCCATCTAGCCTTGAAATAGATAGCGTTGACTAGTACCATGGCGGTCAAGCGAGTGATGGTTCCTTGGTTGATGATGGTGGGGATGAGGTTGTTGGTCTGGGCTGACACCCACTCGTTGATGGGACCCTCTGGTCCGGCCGGGTGTCCCCAGTCGAACGAGGAGATATTGGCTTGGTAGAATAAGCCCAGTGCGTCCGTAAACTCCTGCAGTATGTCCAACTCAGGTTGTAGATATATACTATTAGCCGTCTTCAGCGTAGCATTGCCAGGGTTGTTGAGGAGTTGGTTCAATTTCTTCGCTGCCAAACGCGTGCGTCTTCCAAGGCCACGCAGTGACAGAGCCTGCTTCATCTGAAACGCTGTTTGATGACGAGCACCCATAAAGGTCATGGTCAACGCTTGGTGGATGCTGAAAGGAGAATACACAACGTCGGTAGCGGGCAGACCTACCTCCTTGTGGAAGTTTGTGATAAAGCTATTCTGTGCCCCGACGAGGGATGTGATCAAGCGCTGAACCCTGTCAGGCAAGCTGGCGAAAGACGTAATGGGTTGGCCCCATCGAGCGTGAGCTTGACCTTGGCGATGGCCATGACCTCTCCGACCTTGTCTGTTGCCTCGTCCCGGTGCTTGACCATGACCTCTCCGACCTGGTCTGTCCCTGCGCCCTGGACGCCTTCTCCCCCCTCTCCCGGCGGTGTCTTCCTCCTCGTCTTCGCCTTCGCCTCTTGGCCGCCCGCTGTGACGACGTCCTGCGTTCTGCCTGCGACCTCCCCGTGCGCCTCTTTTCAGTCTAGCCAATACCTCAACCTTGTTGTCATTCTCAGATGCATCACTTGTGGCGTAAATGACTGAAAAAATATGAGTTTTAATTTATGGTAAGCACTGGACCAACACTGGATTCGGGGAGTCTAGTATCCTCTTTAATTCCCACTGAAAGACAAGGTTCCCACTAAGATTCGGTGGACCTGTTACTGCTACCCGTTAAAGATTCATGGTATCTGTTTGTCCAGTCGTGTCTTGATAAATCCCATACAAGTCGGCTAGACGGATGTCGTGACGTCATAATGTTTGATTTGATAAGGGCCCACTTACTTGTGACGTCACAACTGAATCAGTTACCACATGGATAGTCAGATAGCGCTCAAAGATACACCTAAACGTCACGAGGAGGCACATATTTTATACATGACGCCACTGGCCGTGGGTAGCCTAGTGGTTAAAGCGTTGGCTCGTGACGCCGAAGATCCGGGTCCGATTCCCCACATGGGTACAATGTGTGGAGCCCATTTTTATACCCCAGAACGACGCACATTCGTATGGAGGACTAATCATGGACATTATACCCCGGACAGACAAACATTGGTGCGGAGGATTAGCAATGGACATTGTATCCCGGACAGACAAACATTATAGAGAAGACTAGTTATGGACATTACATTATTCCCCGGACAGACAAACATGGGTACTGAGGATTAGCAATGGACATTATACCCGGACAGACAAACATAATAGGGAAGACTAGTTATGGACATTATACCCCGGACAGAAAAACATTATAGGGAAGACTAGTTATGGACATTATACCCTGGACAGACAAACATTATAGGGAAGACTAGTTATGGACATTACATTATACCCCGGACAGACAAACATTATAGGGAAGACTAGTTATGGACATAATACCCCGGACAGAAAAATATTATAGGGGAGATTAGTTATGGACATTATACCCCGGACAGACAAACATTATAGGGAAGACTAGTTATGGACATTACATTATACCCTGGACAGACAAACATTATAGGGAAGACTAGTTATGGACATAACATTATACCCTGGACAGACAAACATTATAGGGAAGACTAATTATGGACATTACATTATACCCCGGACAGACAAATATTATAGGGAAGACTAGTTATGGACATTATGCCCCGGACAGACAAACATTATAGGGAAGACTAGTTATGGACATTACATTATACCCCGGACAGACAAACATTACAGGGAAGACTAGTCATGGACATTACATTATACCCCGGACAGACAAATATTATAGGAAAGACTAGTTATGGACATTATGCACCGGACAGACAAACATAATAGGGAAGACTAGTTATGGACATTACATTATACCCCGGACAGACAAACATTACAGGGAAGACTAGCCATGGACATTACATTATACCCTGGACAGACAAACATTATAGGAAAGACTAGTTATGAACATTATGCCCCGGACAGACAAACATTACAGGGAAGACTAGTTATGGACATTACATTATACCCTGGACAGACAAACATTACAGGGAAGACTAGTTATGGACATTAAATTATACACCAGACAGACAAACATTATAGGGAAGACTAGTTATGGACATTACATTATACCCCGGACAGACAAACATTACAGGGAAGACTAGTCATGGACATTACATTATACCCCGGACAGACAAATATTATAGGAAAGACTAGTTATGGACATTATGCACCGGACAGACAAACATAATAGGGAAGACTAGTTATGGACATTACATTATACCCCGGACAGACAAACATTATAGGGAAGACTAGTTATGGACATTACATTATACACCGGACAGACAAACACTATAGGGAAGACTAGTTATGGACATTACATTATACACCGGACAGACAAACATTAAAGGGAAGACTAGTTATGGACATTACATTATACCCCGGACAGACAAACATTATAGGGAAGACTAGTTATGGACATTACATTATACACCGGACAGACAAACATTACAGGGAAGACTAGTTATGGACATTACATTATACCCCGGACAGACAAACATTATAGGGAAGACTAGTTATGGACATTACATTATTTTTTATTATACCCCGGACAGACAAACATTACAGGGAAGACTAGTTATGGACATTACATTATAACTCGGACAGACAAACATGGGTACTGAGGACTAGTTATGGACATTATACCCCGGACAGACAAACATTATAGGGAAGACTAGTTATGGACATTATACCCCGGACAGACAAACATTATAGGGAAGACTAGTTAAGGACATTATACCCCGGACAGACACACATTTTAGGGAAGACTAGTTATGGACATTACATTATACCCCGGACAGCCAAACATTATAGGGAAGACTAGTTATGGACATAATACCCCGGACAGACAAATATTATAGGGGAGATTAATTATGGACATTATACCCTGAACAGACAAACATTATAGGGAAGACTAGTTATGGACATTATACCCCTGACAGACAAACATTATAGGGAAGACTAGTTATGGACATTATACCCCGGACAGACAAACATGGGTACTGAGGACCAGTTATACAGCGTAATCCAATGACCGCCGATTATCAAGGCGTTTTCATATCATCATAGTCAATATTTGCTATTACATCTTCTAATTAATCCCCAATTAACTGTAGCAGACTAGCCCATTTTGCATTCACGAAGGTGCAGTATCCTAAATCAAATACTGGTGATTACTAATTGGTAATTAGATGAAGTTGGAAGTTGTAGTAGTCAAAATAGGGATGAGTACATATGTTTATATATAGATTTCCATAGGTTTGTCAGTATTCGCCGCCTCCGTGGTCTTGTGGTAGAGCGTCCGCCCGGAGAGCGGAAGGTCCGGGGTTCGATCCCCGGTCGCGTCATACCAAAAGACGTTTAAACAAGGTACTTGTTGTTACCCTGTCTGGCGCTCGGCATTAAGGGGCTAAAACAAGGAGTGGTCGGCTCGGAGTCAGTATACTGTGTCTGAGTGGGGTATTCATGTTAAACTGCGGCATGGTATCTCAGTGAGCTAGCACTATAAATCGGCATCAGTCCGGACTAGTACAAGCAGCCACACACACACATGTGCATGCACGTCGCTATATAAGTGCAATAATCTTGGACGCGACGTTAAACCCGATTTCACCTCACCTTTGTCAGTATTCATTGATGAAGGGACAAGTAGTTAGATGAAAAGTTGTTAAACAATACAGAAGTTTAACCATATAAGTTTCATGTCTTCATCATAACATCAATTTCATAAAAATATTTAAAAAATATCTCACCTGCAGCCAGCAGAAGACAAAAGCAGATGACAAGCGTGAGTTTAGACATGTTGGGACGCCGTTTCTTGGATTGTAAGCCGAGCCAGTTTGCTGACTCCTCAACGGGATGGAAGATTCCGGAACGGGACACTTTGTGGTCACTTGAGATGCTCATCAGGGATGTTTTGGCGCTCCAGATCATAACCTGGAAACAAACGTTTTCAAACGAGTGGTTCTTGCCGCTTTCCGTTGGATTCATTGGTTTGTTTGTTTGTTTGATGTTTAACGCCGTACTCAGCAATATTCCAACTATATGACGGCGGTCTGTAAATAACCAAGTCTGGACCAGACAATCCAGTGATTGACATCATGAGCATCGACCCACGCAATTGGGATACGATGACATGCATCAACAAAGTCAGTGAGCCTGACCACCCGGTCCCGTTAGTCGCCTCTTACGGCAAGCATGCTGAAGTCCTATTCTAACCCCCGATCTTCAAGGGTCACCAATGTATGTTTTAGAAAATGTACATGTTTTAAGTGGAACTCGGCTCGCAATGTGTGGGTTATTGGCCCGGACCAGACACACCGTAACTTGGCTGTAGACTCTGGAAAGTGTCCCTGATGAAATTATATGGATACAATCGGAATCAGGATGATGCAGCAAGTAATCCGCTGAGAGGGTAAGACTTCCGTCCGTATCCCTCTCCCCCCCCCCCCCCCCCCCCCTCTAAATGTACCCTGTGTGTAGGTCTTTGCAAACACTCCATGTAAACTTAGTGATATTTACTCCCAATTGTGTGCACAATGAATTATAAACCCTTCTGCCTACTTTGGTGTCCGCTATAGACTAAACTGAGTATTTATGAATCAGAAAGCAAAATATATGAACGCGAACCAAATTCGAAGAAATGAATTAAATAAAATGTTGCCCTATTTTTAGTGTTCCTGGACATGCGAAATAGTTCTCAAAAACGCAACCAGTTATCGTCCTGCACTCGCCGCGCAGTGACCCTCTTCCTCTAGGGTTGCGCCGATCACAAGACGGACCCATCTGTATGCTGTACTCCTGCGATCGGATATCGCAACTAAACGCACAGTCTCTACAGCGGCCACGTACCGACCTCGGACATTAGTGAATGAATGGTGTGGTACGCCGCAGTCTAAATTTAATTCATTTAAAGATTCTGGACCCGCCTTTGCAATACACCACCTTTTCACTGCGGTCGGTAAATAATGCAGTTTGTTCCGTGAGTCGCACAGTTTGGTTCAACGCCGCTTAGAACAGTATTTCAGTTATATCACTACATGTCAGCTTGATGTGGGAGGAAAGCCCGAAAGTGATGCAGGTCTCAGACGTTTACCACTTCGCTGAAACCCACGAGCACGGGTATGGTGCTGACAAACCTAGAAACATAATCGGGGCGAACCGGGATTTGAACCCACAATCATAGGTTTCTGGCGTGCCCAAGGGACGCAACTCTGCACAGCGAATCGCGGACGTTTATCACTTTGGTAACACCCACGAGCACGGGACAAATCCGAAAGTATTATCGGGCTGAAGCGGGATTCCAACCCACAATCTCTTCCGGGTGAAGATAAGCGAGATGGAATGGGGTTTAACGTTGAGGTCCAGATTATTGCACTTACATAACGACGATTAATCTGGGTTTTTATAGTGTCAGCCCACTGAGGTACCAAGCCGCTAGGGCTGGGACGAGTCCAAATTTACTACCCGGGTACCCACCCCTCTATTGCCCGACCCTACCCGGGTACCCACTGTGGGACTCAAGAGATGGGTATAAAATGTCCGATTCCAATTATGTTTGACCATAGCCCTGGCACAACGTCTTTAGATACGTGTATCAAACAATCTGGCCATGCATACACTGAAGTTGACTTAAGTGTTATCTATAACCATATGAAAAGTCAGAAGGAATGGGTGCATAGTCAGAAAAAAATGCGAACATTAGTGACTTGTAGTGTAACCATAGAGTTCTAGATAATAGACAATATATCACGTGACTGACCACGGGTCCGGGTAGTCCAGTGGGTACCGGGGTCCTGCTCACGGAGGCGGTTGGTAGATGTTCTATCGTCTAGACCACTGTGGCGGTTGGTAGACGCTCTACCACTCGACCACTGAGGCGGTTGGTAGACGCTCTACCACTCGACCACTGAGGCGGTTGGTAGACGCTCTATCACTCGACCACTGAGGCGGTTGATAGACGCTCTATCTACTAGACCAGGGAGGTGGTTGGTAGACGCTCTATCCACTAGACCAGGGAGGCGGTTGATAGACGCTCTATCCACTAGACCACGAAGGCGGTTGGTAGACGCTCCATCCACTAGACCACGGAGGCGGTTGGTAGACGCTCCATCCACTAGACCACGGAGGCGGTTGGTAGAACAATGGTTGACAGCATGAGCAGCGATCCACGCCGTCGGTGTATGATGACGTCATACACCAAATGACCGAGCCTGACCTCCCTATCCATTTAAGACGCCTGTTTGTTTGTTGTTTGAATTACTGGATAGCTAAAACAAAACAAAATTCTTCGTAACTAGAATAATTTGTTTGTTGTTCAACGCCGAAGCGATATTCACGCTATATGACGGTTATCTGTAAATAACCGAGTCTGGACCTGACAATCCAGTGATTGACATCATGATCATCGATCTACGAAGACATGTACCAGCCAAGTCAGCGAGCCTGAACCCGTTAGTCGCCTCTTATCACGAACGTGGGTTGGGGAAGACCAATTCTAAACCGGATCTTCGCGGTTTACTCACCGAACCCAAACCCCTTTGAAAACCAAAATGTAGTAGGTTTTGTAGGCAATAAAATTGTCCGAGGGAGGATTTTGATATTTTGGACCCCTCCCTTTTAAATAGGGGCGGTCGGGTAGCCTAGTGGTTAAAGCGTTCGCTCGTCACGCCGAAGACCCGGGTTCGATTCCCAACATGGGTACAATGTGTGAAGCCCATTTCTGGTGTCCCCCGCCGTGATATTGCTGGAATATTGCTAAAAGCGGCGTAAAACCATACTCACTCACTCACTCACCCTTTTAAATACGCCGGATCCACCCCTGATCTTATATATAACAACAGGTTGCCAAGATCTATAATTTGACTGAAGCGGGGACAGGATGATAATCATATGTGGGACATAGGTGCAGAATGTCAAGTGGTTGTCGGGGAAATTTACCAACAATCTGTCATTGTTTCACATATTGACGTGGTGCACTTGTACTGCGGAGTGTCCCCTCATCTCGGGGCTCGTGACTCACGTGAGATGACGCACCAGACTGGTCTCTGCAACAAATGGGGTTCTGCGTGAATGTAGGTCAGTGCTGGCAGCTCGTTCACACACGAGATACAATATACACGATTTTATTGCGTAAACATTCCAAGTATAAACAGGAACAATATTCTATTAACTATATTTTGTTTTACTGTCCTTCGTCGACCGAATTTTATACAGTTTACATGTGTTTTATTAAAGTCAAATTTTATCTCGTCACGATATGGCTGCAATATTGCCGATGTGACGTTAAAAATTAACTCACTCACTCACTCACAATAAACTATATAAACAGATACATAATAAGTCAGGACAACAATACAAAGTATCAATACAAAATATTACGTAATGACTTTGGGTTATATATGATAAGTACTTCAGATTCATTTGATGTTGTATACATGATATGTTACCTGGTTCATTGTTTGATACAAGTTTGTTTGTTTGTTGTTTAACGCCGCACTCAGCAATATTCCAGCTATCTGACGGCGGCCTGTAAAGAATCGAGTCTGGACCAGACAATCCAGTGATTAATATCATGGACATCGATCCACGCAATCGATGGCATGCATCAACCGTCGCCTTTTACGACAAGCATAGTTTGAAACAAGTAGACTAAATATTTCTGTGCTGTTAAGGCTTGCAAATAATAATTATTTAAGGAAAGAGAAGTAAACATGGAGTGCCTTACATCTGCATTTTTACACAAGACATCAGATTGTGTTCTTCATCTTCAAGGACTGAGCAGTGATCACAGAGACGTTCTTCCAAAGGTGTACAGTCCGTTTGACTCCAAATGAGAACGATGAATTGCAAAATAACTCGAAATCCAGAAAAGTGTATGAAACATCAATACGGTACTTGACCATGAATACCCTGTACCCAACAAAATCTGAATTTTGTTGATTTTAAGACCCATGACGGATGAAGTTCTTTAAGAAACTATCATGTAATTTTGTATAGAAATGTGTACATGACACGTAGGGGGACTAACAGTGGAAGGAACAGCGCAAGCACGGTCTGCACGTGCTTTATATCCTACACTGTTCTAAATAGATTCAAGTTAAATTTCTGACTTAAATTGTCTTTATGTTCTAAGTTTGAGAGAGAGGTACCGTCACCAGAGGCTGTCTCCCTCGCGTTGGTTCATAAATAGGTAAGGGTAACTCCGTGTCCTTGTGTACTACTCAAACAGGGTTTAGCTTCTCCCGATTCTTCATATTACTGTAGTGAGTTAGTGAGTTGGGTTTAACGCCGCTTTTAACAGTATTCCAGTTATATCGCGGCGTGTCAGCTTAATGTGGGAGGAAAGCCCGAAGTGATGCAGGTCTCAGACGTTTACCACTTCGCTGAAACCCACGAGTAAGGTATGGTGCTGACAAACCTAGAAACATAATCGGGGCGAACCGGGATTTGAACCCACAATCATAGGTTTCTGGCGTGCCCAAGGGACGCAACTCTGCACAGCGAATCGCGGCGCCTTAGACGACTGGGCCACCCGTGACCCCTCCTATTATTATAGTTAGTATGTCATGTCTTGATAGACTAACGATAGAAATATGAAGGAATCGGGTGATCCTTAACATTTTGTAGTAATATAGTAATATAAGTTGTAGCCGTATCACTCGGGGTAGCATCTTCACGCGGCAAAGGTGTTAACTGACTTTATAAGAGGAGGAGACTAGGGACGCAGAGCCCGAGTGATACTGCTGCAACGAATTTATCTTACCGACAGGGGCGGTCGGGTAGCCTAGTGGTTAAAGCGTTCGCTCGTCACGCCGAAGACCCGTGTTCGATTCCCGACATGGGTACAATGTGTGAAGCCCATTTCTGGTGTCCCCCGCCGCGATATTGCTGGAATATTGCTAAAAGCGGCGTAAAACCATACTCACTCACTCACTCACTATCTTACCGACATGTTATAATCTGCCAAGAATTCAAATTAAAAAGAGAGATAGAAAACAGCTGTTCGATTGAGCTGAGTTAACTTGTGTCTTGTCGCGTGACGTTCATTGATTCGGAAAAAAACCGTGCGGCCTTTTGCTTAAGGAGTGAGTGAGTGAGTGAGGTTTTACGCCGCTTTTAGCAATATTCCAGCAATATCACGGCGGGGCACACCAGAAATGGGCTTCACACATTGTACCCATGTCGGGAATCGAACCCGGGTCTTCGGCGTGACGAGCTAACGCTTTAACCACTAAGCTACCCGACCGCCCCTTTTGCTTAAGGAGTGTAAAACCCGAGAAAGCGTGCGTGTGGCCTGTTCCTGGGCTCCCAGTTGTATTATCTCCAAGTCCCGTAATGGTAGGGACAGATCAAACAGGAAATCTAACGGGGTAGTCCACAGTGTTTAGACAGGATGCAAGTTTTCCGGCTGCAATATAAACAAAGTTCGATCAAGAGTTCAGTTGAAAGTTTGAGATATTTCGAAAAATCTGATTTCAGTTAGTTTGGAATTTGAAGTGGGTGAGCTCATATTGATTTAAGCCGCATCAGCAATACTGCAGATATTCGCGACCAGAAATATTTCAGTTTTCTATACAAAAGAACATTGAATAAAAGTGATGTCAAAGATCTCTTGATTTGGAATGACTCGTATTCATGTGTAACATGGCTTACGTACCCCACGTGACCCTACTATTGGGTGGAGTCGTTTTTTTCACATGTCCATCCTCAAATTTTATGTTTTCGTTTCTGGTCATTTTTTTGTTATTGTACCTTTGAACATGCTGGTGCGTTTGAACACTTTTACAACCCGTGGAGATCCGGTTAGAACTGGTCTTCAGCAACCCATACTTGTCGTAAGAGGCGACTATGCTTGTCGTAAGAGGCGACTAACGGGATCGGGTGGCCAGGTTCGCTGACTTGGTTGATGCTCATGCTAGACTCGATTATTTACAAATCATTTCGTTTGAATATTGCTGACTGCGGCTTTGAACAATAAATACATAAACAATCAAACATCAACGCTTTTAGCATCTACTGGGACCTGAGATAACGACCAAGAAGAGAACGGACACCTTGGAAGCTTTGTCGACAATTGGTCAGGTGAGCTTTCTGTTACTTTCACGAACACCAGACAATATCACTATTTGATAGTGATTCATAAACACATTCCCATGATAGAGCTTTTAGCAGAGATATCTAATGATCATGGAAAAGTGCTTTGTTGCTTTTAACTGTCCATTTTTATGTTGGAATTGTCAAAACATGTAGAACTGATATTCAGTTAAAAGATAAACCCCTTTCCGGAATTATCTCAACAACCTTGACAAATTCTTGACATGCCTATGAAAGATGGCAAATTCTTGACGTGCCTATGAAAGATGGCAAATTCTTGACGTGCCTATGAAAGATGACAAATTCTCGACGTGCCTATGAAAGATGACAAATTCTTGACGTGCCTATGAAAGAAAAGACCCGTTGGGAACCGATTTAGACACCCACTACTCTCTTGCTTGTCGTAAGACAAATTGATCAATATCCCCCACAATAGAAAATACTTGTGAGTAAATATATGCAATGGAAACTCGAAAATATTTGCTTAAAAAATCCCGTACTATCAGAAGGCACCAGTTCACTTCTCGACCTATCTATGTGCCAAGTTTGGCGAAGAAATATTGTAAGGTTTTCGAGATCTACTCCGGAAACGAGCAATAGCACCATTTTCATATCAAAGTTGTTGCCGTGGAAGCTCGAAAAATACTTTTCGAAAAAAAATCCAATCAGTCAAAGGGGATCAATTTACTACTCGAACTATCTGTGTGCAAAGTTTGATGAAGAAATATTGTACGGTTTTCAAGACCTGGGCCCTGTTCCACAAAGCGATCTTAGTGCTACGTTGAACATAAGCCTCTGATAAAGTACGGGAATTAGACCAACTTAGCACAAAGATCGCTTTGTGAAACAGGTTCATGATCCGGAAACGACACGGACGGACGTCTTGCGGGGGATAATTAAGACTCATTGCTGACCAAGGCATGGATATGAAGCTGTTTGGCTGTAAGATCTGACCATTGGTAAACGTCCGACGGCTAGTTCTCGTTGTTGTTTGGAAAGTCTTGGCATCATTGTCGAGTCACTATTCTGAATGACTGGGGCATTTTATTGTCCTCACCGCCAGGGGCAGTTCCTGCACTTCGATTTCCAGGAGCAACAGTTACTCAAGCCAAAGAGTCGTTTGAGTGCTCGGTGTCAGTGGTTCTCTCAACACGAAATTGGGTAACTGACTTAATGCTACACTTCTTCAGTCAGTTTTGACCAACAACCTCCCTTGTGTAAATTTTCATAATGTCAGAGATTTGCGTTTCTTTGATGGTTCACACTGCCCTGTCAACCCTGTCTCCAAGTTTCTCCATGACAACACCAAGTTTGAAAGAAGAAAACTTCACTGTATGTCTCTCCTGGTGGAGGTAATGGTTATTCATGACGAACAAAAACAACACAGAAACATGTACTGTAATATAATAAATATCATTTATTCTCTTTAGCCTTTCATATAAATCATAATTTGGCAAATATCAAAGAATAGAACACTCAAATTTTCACTCAGACTTTCTCGGTATCCTGTGTTGAAGAGACAAGTAACATGAACACAGTGCACACCTATGGTCAGCTGCAACTGACACAGGTCTTTGCAGTGTCAACATAAGCTACCTACACCCACATTCCTTGACCATTCTCTACATCACAACAGAACAACTCTCTCATGCCAAACCAAGATTTTGTTATCAAATATGCCAGTTCAGTCTCATGCACCAGTGATGAAATGTGAAATGCAGACAATTGCATTACTTCATTAGAATACTGGTGAAACTAGGTTCCGGTAGGATTCAAGTTACCCTATCTTTACAATATCTCATTGCTTTCGAGATAAAACATTTCCAAGGGTAGAACCGAATATTTGGTAGAATGGGCTTTTCACTATGTGTTCTATTTCTGCCTGTGTCACATCAGCTGTCAACAGTCAATTACACAAACACATTCTCTTTATAAAGTCCAGTTTATTGATGTGTTAAGCCCAAGCTATTCCATCAGAATACCATCATTAACAGTAAGGCTACTTCATCTTCAAACATCAAGTGATTTGGTCAAGGAATCAGGCAAACTAACAACTGACATGTTTCTATATACCACAGATAGAATTTATTTTCATGATGAACACTAACAAACTGATCTCAATCACAGTGAAACCTTGTCAATCTGGAAATTGTTGCTCCAAGAACTTCAGGTAATTTTAAGTTAATAAATAAGTCTTATAATCGATATTGGCCAAACTCAAGACTTTCAATTGACAAGGCTCCACTGTGCTTCAGCCGAGATGATAACATTAGGAATATAAACATGCTTCAAGTACTCAGCAATCAGATTCAGATAATATATGTAGACAAACAGTTGGCCATAGCTTTGCTCAAGGAAGAAGTCACTGAAGTGAGGTCACTTTCCCATGTCATTGAGTTTCAGATTATATATACAGAGACACTGGAGTCATTGGGATGGATGAATGGGAATATTTGTTTTTTACTGATATGCATAACATCATTGTGAGAGTCAGACATTCCAACAGTAATCTTTTTACCATGGAAAAGAGAATTCCCAAATGATTGCTAGTAAAATAGTTGAATCATTTCTGTTCAGTGTGAAGGTGGAATTTATGGAGCTTCTGTAAATATTTGGAATAATTCATGCCATGGATACTTCAGGTACTTGCAAACATGAATCTCTAGAGGCTCTGCAAGTGTTAAGAAAGTTCCAATTATTTCGAGGTATGTCCTCTAAATCCCGGAAAAGATAGTCTTGCATACATCTAAATCAAACACAACGCATGACATGTTTTGGAAATCTGCATGTGGGCAGATAGTTTCAGATAAGTAGTTCATATAAAACTTTGGACAGTAACTTTATTGTAAAACACATGTTTCTGGATTGAAAAAAAGCTGTCACAAGAACAGTGATATTCAGTACTGTTTAATGACTTGTTCCCTTGTTGCATATTAACATGGAACCATACTGTGACTTTTTATAACTATTACACTATCATAGAAACACCAACAGAATCATTTCTAGTACAGCAGACCTCCAGACCAGTTTTCAGTATGTCACAAATACAGGAATGACCAATACCCTACACTATCTGTGTTGTAAAATGAGCAAAAAGCCAAGGGGACCTTGTCATAACCCCAACGTATAAAGTCAGATTCAGAGGGCCCCAAAATTCAAATACCAGAGCAGCCAATCTCAAAACCACCTTTAATTACAAACAATGACTACGATGCTAAACAATCAGTTAACATTGACCCAGCTGAAAAGAAACATGATCCCTTAGCCTGTACCATGTCCTTAATTCTAATGTAAACACAACGTTGGGTGCAATTAAATGAAATAAAGATTACCATCTTGAAAGTGTATTACATGTACTGCAGTCATAACTTGGGCTTCAACTAGTGGTGGGATGATACATCCATGCATCAGTGAATTGCGATTTTTTACTTCTGAAAGTTTTCATCCATTTCGCCATACCTGACACTGCCAACTGTTAATGATTAGTGTGCCAGGTATTAGGCAATCCTGTCTATGAAAAAGATGGTGTATGCACCACACATACGTGCACATGCAAGTATCGCGATACGTATCAGATCGTGAGCAAGGTCACGTGAAACATATCGGATCGCACAGTTGGTGTATGGTGCCAGCCCCAGCTCAAACTGTGGTAAGTTTGTGCTAAAGAAAAGGAGTTAGATTTATTAAGCACTAATTTTTCTTTGTGGAAAGGGAGCCTCATGTCAAGAATTGAATACATCTTGGAATTGTAAGCTTACCTTTGTGAGGGATCCATGACTTCAAAATAACCAATGACAGCGTTCTCATGTTACCATTACTAAATAGTGAGTGAGTGAGTGAGTTGGGTTTAACGCCGCTTTTGACAGTATTCCAGTTATATCACGGCGTGTCAGCTTAATGTGGGAGGAAAGCCCGAAGTGATGCAGGTCTCAGACGTTTACCACTTCGCTGAAACCCACGAGCACGGGTATGGTGCTGACAAACCTAGGTCATAATCGGGGCGAACTGGGATTCGAACCCACAATCATAGGTTTCTGGCGTGCCCAAGGGACGCAACTCTGCACAGCGAATCGCGGTGCCTTAAACGACTGAGCCACCCGTGCCTCTCCATTACTAAATAAATGTAGCAAGTCTTTGGTTTAACATAAGAAAGGATACAATATCAGATCAATTAATCATTGTAAGGATAGCTGTGGCATATTGCAAAGATAATGAGACATAACATCAACATAATCATATATGGATAGAATACAAATTTCTCTTCATCAAATTTGTGTTACATTGATGAATAATATGCCTGTTTGCATACAAGTGTTCGAGATGAGGCGTAATGATTAAATTTCTACACATTCTGAATGTGCATTTAATGATATTTGTATACTATAATATTCATGCTTTTTTGAGATGCCAAACTTAGTACTATTTTTGTAAATGCAATTCAATATCCTCTGCTTATCATTTTGCATTTGCTGTAAAAGAGACTTCGCAAGTTGTGGTATTGCAAACCTATAACCCTTTCATACAGATCTACTGATCAAACATAGTGAAAATATCATGAACTTACAATAGCATAAAGAGGAATAAAATGAGACTTATATTCATCAGAGTGGCACTAATGGAAGTTTGCTGGGACAAACTTACACAGATACATTTCTAGAACGATGTAGTTCCCCAATATTTGTAGAACAAGCACAAAATAGTGTCAGGGGTGTGGAAATTGAAAACTTTTCACTTGGGTGAGAAATCCAACTTAATTTTTCATTGATGGTTTAATGACTTGTGGCTTGGGTGTGTCTATTCCATATGTAGGTATTTTTGTTCTTTCTTTAACCACACTGTCATATCCGAAGTATCAAACGGAACAAAATATATTTAGACTATGGATAGCTTATTTAACAGGAAGGGAATGATTGACTGAATCCATGAGTCTGTGTTGAAGCCACTTGTATTTTTGATTGCATCAAGGCAGGACACCAATGATAGACTTCACACATTGTACCCTTGTGGGCGTCAACTAGGAATTGTCAAATACCAATTTTAAGGACAATTTCCAACAAGTCCGGGAAACTTAAATGCAGAATTCTGCTAAATCAGCAAAGAGACATATTGGATGGGACACAGGACAGCGTAAAGCAGCCATAGCAGTACATGTGGACAGAGACATGAATCAACTTTGTCAAAAATAGGCAGCTACTTGTGTTTCCCTTCTATGTCCTTTGAAACAGTCCCATGATTCTCATAAAGCTAGGCTAGTCTGCTATTGCTAACGGAAACAGCTGGTACTCCACACCCCTTGTTTTAAGATGCTATGACGATGACAGCCACACAGGCAGGTTGCAGTTGAAGCATTTATGCATGATGAACATCATTATAATATTGTTGTCCAGTGGAGCTCATATGCGAAATGGGTGTCTTGTTGTCCGTGTGGACCCTCTAGGACTGTTACAGCCATATGAAGCTCTTATGATTATATCACATGTATTTATGTACACCGAGCAGATCCTGCTCTACATACCATATCAAACACATAACAACACAATCAGAAATAAGGAATAGTCATCTGTATAAAACAAGAAATGAGATACAAATTAAATGCCAAATGTTCAAGGTGAGCCTGTCCAGGTTGTGCAGGTACATAGAGGATGCTTGCATGAGCCGCATACACAAACACCTTGCATTACAGTGTACAGGTACTTCAATAGTATAGGTACACTGTTGTATTGGCTTGTCACTGCAAATCATGTCACAGCTTAATTTATCAAACTGTAGTTTTACATTATGTAGACTCTGTTGTATCACCATATCGTAGCCTTGAACTCCCATTAGATGCATCCTTGCTGTTAAATGCCAGCTTCTCTCCTTGAATGTATCGCTGATCAAGAAGTCATTACCTTGAAAACACAGTAATGGGCATGACTTGTCTGACTTTGAATTGTATCCTTGACCCCCATTTTGGTCTGAAGAAATTCACAGATTTTATCAGTATGCAAATATTTTCACATGTGACCCCTTGTCACCACTTCATGTGTTTCCCTTTGGCAACTTAGGGGAAGGTGTCTGTAGGAACATCCTACACCAAACACTGTGACCTCAGTCTGTTCAACACTCCATCATTCAAGTCCATAAACAAAATATCATTCCAGTCACAAATATTATTTTGCTTCATCATAATCAGCCTGTTTGATTTGACACAACTCTTTGTCCTAGGGAAATGCCCACAAAGTATTGGTGTGGCTCCTGACAGCTCATGATAAATGGAAGGAGAGCTGTCCTTCTCTGGCAGCCACACTCAGCCTGTCCCGCATGTTCTCCACGGTCGAGTAGTCCGGGAGCTTCAGGTAGTTGACACACGTCATCACAGATGGTAGGAAATTGTCAGGGCATTCATTGGACTCGAAGGATTTTCTCACTATGGTCAGAGGTGGGGAAAGACTTCGGAATCCTGCAAGACAATATTTGGTTGAATGAGCAGCGGTAGAAACTAACATTTTTAGTCCACTAGTCCTTATAATTATAACATATAGCGAAACCCTTAAAGTGAGTGAGTGAGTATGGTTTTACGCCGCTTTTAGCAATATTCCAGCAATATCATGGCGGGGGACACCAGAAATGGGCTTCACACATTGTACCCATGAAACCCTTAAAAATGGCAATTTTCTACTAGTCCTTATGATACCTTAACTATTGGACAGTTTGGCAAGGACTACAGGACTAGTGCCAATTTTTAACACTGATGAGTAGGTTATGTAATAATGCTTCAGCTTATGCTCCAGCTACCAATATTTTAAGTAAATAAATAATTTTTTCATAAAAAATTGGGGTTTCCACAGGAGACAATGCTTGAGTGAGATCAACCAATATCTCCTTGGAGATATCAGTGATGTAGATCACACTTAAACCAACTAACACAGGTATGGAGCTGACAAACCAAAAATAACATGGCAGGGCAGTTATAGGACTGAACCAATGATCATAAGAACCTGGTGTGGCTAATGGATGCAACTCTTCTCAGTGAATTATGGTGCCTTGACGGTCTGCCCGCCCTACCCCTCCCTCCTTTAATTCTCAAGAAGAATGACCACTGTTACTGACCTCCTACAGGTAGTTTTGGTGAGCCTGTGACAAACTGAAGAAAGTCTCTCTGCTCGTCCGGGGTGTAAGCACTGAGCACCTGGAAGAGGAACTTGACTGCCCGACTGTCGTGTGTGTAGCCATGGTCTGGGCGGCAGCATTCCATCAGCATCTTCATGTCCCACAGCTCACTCCCGCTCCCACAGAACAACTGCTCCAGCTGAAACAAGGATCACAACATGAGAGCTGTGTCAGACCAACTAACTGTTGAACGTCTTGTCTTGCCTACAAGCATTGCCATGTAACCTGGTCTAGATCTGTGTATCTGCAGTATTCCAGTTATATGACAGTGGCCTATAAATGATTGAGTCTGGACCAGACAATCCAGTGATTGACACCATGAGCATCGATCTACGATGACATCCACCAACCAAGTCAGCGAGCCTGATCCTGATAGTCGCCTCTTATGACGAGCATGGGTTGGGGAAGACCAAGTCATCCAAGTCAGGAAGCCTGATCCCCCAGTCCTTGCAGGACAAGCATGGATGCTATGAAGTGTAATTTATGAACGAAAATACTGCGTTCCAGATCGGTTCAGGTATTAGGCCATTGACTGATTTTAATCCAAATTGTACAAATATGTCTTTCAATTTAGTAATGACAAAGAAGAATATATTATCAAAAGATGCTGAAACATGAAACTGTCTAAAGACCATTTGTTTCTCCAGCAAAATGACAGAGCAATGTGATACCAAGGTCGACACGGTTGTGTGTAGGGTTAAAAATACAGATATCTGAAGTGACAACTTAATACCTATATTACAGGCAGCCCCTTTCTTCGACCTTGGTTGAGTGTAAATGCATGATCTGAAGATTGTGGTTGTTGAGTTACCAGAACATTCAAATATAAGCAAATGTTAATCAATGCCCCAGTTACTAATATTTCAGCCATTTAAGGTGTCCAATTCGTACATGAGTGTTGGTCAGACAAAACAGTGTCTGACGGCATGAACAACGACCAACGCCACCTGGGAAAATACACCACCAGACAGATCATCTATTGTAACCCCCCAAGAGAGACAATTTTTGAAGGCCTTTAATAGCCTTTATAACATTTTGAAACCGATTTTTGAACATGATTGGTTGGTTGGTTGGTTTGTTGTTTAACGCCGCACACAGCAATATTCCAGCTATATGACGGTGGTCTGAAAATAATCGAGTCTCGATCAGACAATCCAGTGATTGACATCATGAGCATCGATCCACGCAATTGGGATTGATGACACGCATCAACCAAGTCAGTGAGCCTGACCACCCGATCCCGTGAGTTGCCTCTTACGACAAACACAGTCGCCTTCTACGGCAAGCATGGGCTGCTGAAGACCTTTCTGCTCAGATCGTCACGGGTAGTTTTGAGAAGGAAAGGAAACAAGTCTGCACCCACCTCTTCTGGGTAGAAGCACTGCAGTGAAGACAGAGGGAACACAGATTCAAATCCCTCCCGGAATGCATCGAACTGGCGAGACACACCTTCCACAATACTCCAGTGTGTCACCAGCTGTACAGGGAAACAATCATACATTACAGACGTGTTGAAATATATGAGGTTCAGGAAATTATAAACATCCCTGACATCAAACACATGCATTATAATAAATTCACAATTCACTTTATTGTTTTAGATCCTTTATATCATCTATTCCTGTTATATGCTTATGTAAGAGCTCCACAATAAATGCAAAGAACAATGAAGAAAGAGGCGTGGTTTATTTACGCAGCCCCTTATTCTCCCTTCAGTGTATTATTGTACGATAAACAACGACCACGGGTCGTTTATTTCTTATATAAGATATCAACATTTGGTTTAGCCTTTTTAAGGATTTAATTAAAATGTTCAAGCTTTAAAAACATTTACCGATTTTAAAATATTGATAACTCCCTGAATACACTCCAACCTCGGTTATGTCGGACAACTCCATTTTATGTACACAGGGGTTTAGTTTGGTATTCTTACAATTTTCATGTCGATTATCAGAACCATTTCTCCAAATACCGATTGTCATATCTCTTCCACTTTCGGGTGCGATTGTTCTGCCACTGCGTTCATCTGCGCTGTCCAGCTACATCTAAACAACTAACTAAACACGACAACTTCATCAAGTTGCAAGTGCATGTTTGAATCTCCAGAAATGACGTCATAATAGAACATTGTAGTTTATTAGTAAACTACGCTATGTTCTTCATTCTTCTCAGCAGTTTATCGCTTAGCTATGTTATATTTCACATTATCATTTAACTTAAGCATTTATCGATGACATAAGCTTATGACATAAAAACATGTATGTCATACCCCAATGACATAAGTATGCAAATTAGATATGGAAATTAGATAACCGGAAGAGGGAGCGGTTTGATTTGAAACTATATATTATAAGTGAAGTTACACCAGAGATATAATCAGATTACACAGAATCGTTGTTGTTACCATTATTAAAGTTTCAATTATTCTGCAAAAGTCTGTTCAAGTATTTTGTTTAAAATAATCCGAGGAACTTTTTTTCTCAGCGAATTGTTTATTTTGGTATACATGGCTATGGAACACATGTATCACTACGCACGATCTATACGTAAGATTTCGACAAGTTGCTGATGTTAATGTTTAATGCAATTATTCCTTAATTTGGAATTAACTAAGACTCGGTTGATATTTCCCATATTAAAAAACACTTGTGATGAATCCTCTATATAAATCATTGTGCTATCAAGAAGACATTACGAAAAATGCTTGCAACTCCATTAAGCTATAAATTGGACGATGTTATTTTTGAGAGGTAAAGAGTTGTCCCCCTTAGCGCAGATAAACGTAATGGCCGAACAAACGCATTCAAGAATAGGTGACATATGGTAATCGGTTTGGGGAGAAAAGGTACACATAATCGCCGCGAGAATATTCAGGAAATACCAAACTGACCCCTCCCTACCTGTACATAGAATGGACTTGTCTGACATTGCTTAAACAGACTGTATTCAGCTATGTTGTAAATAATGTTGATATCTCAAATAAGAAATCAACGACTTCCTTGTCATTGTTTATCGTACAATAATCTGCACCCCGCATGGTTTACCCTCCCTGCAGAGTTTTATTGTATGATAAACAATTCCCCCTCTTCGCTTATGTCTTAAATAAAGGTCAATAACAGTTACAAGATTCACCCAAAATAGCAAGATGTGCATTTCTACAGTACTGACTATGCAGACGGCTGTCATACTTACGCTAACCCAAACACAAACCCCCACCCTTAAAAAAACCCAACCCAACAGAACAAACCCCCCAAAAGCTCCCTAAAAACCAACCAGCCCCCAAACAACTATGACTCATACAATGGCACGAACAAAATATATTAAAAGAATGAAACAGTATAAACCTACTCCTACCGGCAAGACAGGCGATTATAACGAAGACGTACCTGTAAGTAGTCCTCGAGATTGTCGAGTGAGACTGGCACATCCTTGCCACCCTTCTTCAGCTCTATAGTGTTGTAGCCAGGGAGTGTGAAGGTGAGGTCCAGGTCCTCTATACTACACCCATCCAGGGTCAGACTGTCCAGAGCCAGCTGACGAGACTCTTCAGTCTACAGCACACACACAAGATCAGGCTTCAACGTTTCAAATTTGGGAACAATCTATTTTCCTGAATGAGTGAGTGACTTGTTACTTAATCCTATTCAGCAATACTTCAGCTGTATCAAAGCAGCCTTTAAATAATTGAGTCTCACTTTGCCTGACTACCAGATCCATTTTAGTTGAATCTAATGAAAAGTATCCTGCCAGAAATTACCAAGCAAGGGTCATATCTAATAATGAATATGTTTCTCGTACAAGGGTGAGGCGAAATGGGGTTTAATGTTGTGTTAAAGATTATTATATAATGATGTGCATGTGTGAACAACAGTGTTTGACTATATCACGCTGTGAGTTTATGCGACGTTACTCAAAGAGTAAAAATTAGAAGTCACCTGAAACTGCTTGTAAGCAGAATAATTACAAAATGTCTACTCATGAGGGGAAAAATACCTAACAGATGGACCCAAACGGGTAAAAATAAATTGTATACCTAAAGAAAACTATCAATACCTAATGTGAATGACAACTTTACTGAGATAGGTGGCACTGTTCTCTGGCGACATGCACAGTTGAAATGGTGCTAATCAACTGTGAAATATGAATTACCCCCTGGGATAATAAAGTCTTATCATATTGTATCGCTCTCTTAACTTGTGAGTAAATACTCAATGTCTAAAAACATTATCTGGAACCCTGTACCCATTCCCTACTATAACTTAGACTTGCAACGACAACGATAACAATTGGCATCCAATCAACTACTCCCATGAGGCCTTTGGTTAACTTATTTACCACGAGGCCACCCCATCACTCCTAGGAGTGATGAAGGTGGTGATGTTTCCATGGTTACTTCCAAAAACAAAGCTACGGTGGCAAAGGGTACCGGGTATTTATCATAAGCATGGAGATTTAATACATGAGATAATCGAAGATGCTCTATTATTTGTGTCATGAGACTCACATGTGACTTGTCACTTAAGATTCTCTTTTTCTGGTGTACAATATCTTCAAGTTGGCGGAAAGATTTAGCGACAACAGGGTCTATGTGTTGCAGGTCGGCAGACGTGACGCTGTGTTCTTGCCCCAACAACCACTTGTAGAACACGGGACTCAGTGGCAGATCCACCTGGAAACACAAGCCAGTTGACACTGTGATTAGCACTTAGTGATTATGTAATGTCAACAAGGGAGGCAAACCGGTGGCTATTAATGTTGTGTTGTTTGTGTGTTTGACGCCGCTTTCAACAATATGGTCGGTGCGGTCTGAAATTAATTAAGTCTGGACCAGACAATCCAGTGATTGACATCATGAGCATCGAGTATGCAATTGAGGTACAATGATAAGGTGTTGTTTTTGTTTGTTTGTTGTTAAACGCCGCACTCAGCAATATTCCAGCTATATGACGGCGGTCTGAAAATAATTGAGTCCGGACCAGACAATCCAGCAGCCCCTTAGACGACTCGACCCCCCTACTTATTTGAGGGCATGCACAGTTTTGATCAATGATGATGGTAGTACGTCTAATACTAGGATTTGTTAGTTTGTTTCTAATGCAGCACTCAGCAATATTCCAACTATATGACCGAAGTCTGTAAATAATAAAGTCTGGACCAGACAATTAAGTGATTAATATCATGAGCATCGATCCACGCAATTGGGATATGATGACATGTATCAACCAAGTCAACGAACCTGACCATCCTATCCTGTTAGTCGCCTCTTACGACAAGCAAATTCGCCTCTTACGGCAAGCATGGGTTGCTGAAGACCTGTTGTTCCCCGGACCTTCACGGCCATGATGATAAGGATCAACAAAGTTAGAATACTCAATCCTGTCAAACCTGCTGAAAATTAATTCTAACCCAGGTCTTCACCTGAAGTGTTGTATTGATCACTGCTGCAGGCATAATGTTTTGAATCATAATCAGTTGTCAATCTACTATCCAAAGAAACAACTGACTTTCCAATACATACTGAGAAGGATGCCGTCTTGCCAAACATTTGAGATAATTCAGTGTACTTTCTTGAATGACTAAGTAAACATGTTAAAATTATCATTACTGACTGTAAATAATTGTGTCTAGATCAAGCAAACCCTTCACTGAAAACAAACAGCAATGATTCCCACCAATGGCTTAAAATGACATGCAATCAGCCAAGTCAAAGAGCCTAACAACCTGATCTTTTTTGTAATTAAAGAAAAATTGAAAACAACCAACCAATGAATTTTGTACAGGAAGAATTTCTCGACTTACCATTCTTGAATCCATGAGAGCTTTGGCGAGGAATTTGCCGAGGAACTTGTACTTTGACTTGACTTTGTTGACAGCTGCAGCTTTGGTGTTTCTGGCCAGAGGGGCCGGAAACAAGCCGCATGATGAGTGCATGTAGGCAATCTTGTTTTCTGGGTCTGGAATTGTTTTATAAACAACTGGTTAAAAGATGAATCCTAAGCAAGGTTATTGTTGGATAAAAAACTGAACTGCTTTTCATGAAAAGTAAAAGTGGAAAATATGAGTGAGTGAGTTTGGAATACCGAATTCGACGTAATAAGGGCCCAGGGCGCTCTCAAAATTAGAAATAAAGGGCTCTTATTGGAATATTATTTTGGTGGAAAAAAAAAAAAGATTTGAAAGATAAATTTCCTGGTTTATGCTGACAGCCTGAAATGTTTATATACGACAGATATATGTTTCCAGAATTTAATTGCCCATAACTCAGGGTGCATATAACAAACGAGTGCGTATTATATGCGAATAAATAAGTCTTGTGCACATTGATCAATCAATCGGAAGAGGTGCTAATTGGGATTGTTCACTAGCCAATATATTAGCAAATATCGCAGTGGGCGCTTATTACGTCGAATACGGTAACACTGCTTAAAACAGTATTTCAGTTATATCACAGGGCGATAAGCCCCAAGTGATGCAGGTCTAACATGTACTTGGTGAAACTCAAGTGCATGGGTATGGTGCTGAGAAACCTAGAAGCATAATCAGGGCTAACTGGGATTCAAACCCAGTATCCTAGGTTTCTGGCCTGCCTAAGGGATGAAACTCTGCACAGTCAACTGGGGACCTTGGACAACTGGGTCACCCAGAAAGTATGAAGGAATAGCCTTACCTGATGGGTTGGCTGCCTTCACAGCTTCACCCCTCCACATGTCCAGGTCACTCCTCTGGAAGTCCCGGGACACCAACGCATAGAACTCTAACGTAGGACCAAGGCCTGTACCCACCTGGGAACAAAAGGAACAGTGCAATGGTCAACCGAACAAGTCACAAAGATAAATGATAGGTTGCCTGTATTGATCATGAAGTCATGTAGACAGCAGGATAAATGGTAAGGCTTTAGATTGATGAGAATACTGATGGTCGTCCTTGATTATCAAGCATGTCATCTGACTAAACCGATACAACTACGTCCACAACTAGTGAAGACACTGGAATTGTTAGAAAAAAAACACCTCAGAGATTTCACAGTGAATGGCTTAGCAAATATCCATGCCTACGACTGTCAAATCAATTGAGAGTTAAATTATGCTCAAGTGACAATACATTTTGGAAAAGAAATAAAATGGTCCTGTATTCGAAGCAATTATGAAAATATACAGTACAGTACAGTATTTCATTACTTTACAGGACCCTCATATTTGTGTGTCGGGTTGTTGTTTAATGCAGCACTCATCAATATTCCAGGTCTGCAAATAATCCAGTCAAGTCCAGACAATCCAGTGATGGTTATCATGAGTACCGTATATCGCTGTGTATAAGGCGAGTTTTTCGTACCTAAAATGAGGGGGTTAAGGAGGGGGGTCGTCTTATACACGGAGTCGAAGATCTCACGTTTTTTTCCAGGTGTGTCACTTTCAGCTTCCACTGGCGATGTCGACCAGCGTTCGATAGCCAGCCCAGCATTTGACAATAAAACTTCGCATTTCGTCCTAAATAACTGTTCAAATAACTATTTCCATACATAAACATGATTTGTATCTGTTTTCCTTGAATAAAGTTGAATATTTTCTGCAAATAAAGTCGAAATGACCCTCGCCTCGATGCAGAATGTCAAGCCAGCTGACACGGTAAAACAATCAACATCCGTGAGTAGAGAGCCGGAAGTACCGGTAAGCATTTGCATATTTCACATGTGACCTAACATGTGATAACCGGTGAAGCTGAAATCAATTCCCGTTGTTTTTACAGTTGTATTAACAACTGTTGGAGACGGTGTGTATAAGTGAATGTTGAATAAACACGCTGAATGTAACGCAAACATAAGCCTAGTTAGATACAACATAGTTAATTGGCGATTAAATTACTCCCATTATCTCACCAAAGATCAAACCCATTGTTTCTTTTCATAGTCGGAGGGAAGCCGTGTAGTAGATTTAAGGGATTATAGAATGGTTGAGTATTTGAGTAGACCATGGATGGGTATAAATAATTCGTTATTCGTTGACTTGACATTCTTCATCATGAATTCCAAGAGAAAACGATTCGCCTACGACGCTGCTTTCAAGCTTAAGGTGGTTTCCTATGCTGAAAGTACAAACAACAGTGCTGCTGCACGTGAGTTTTCAGTGAATGAATCAATGGTAAGGATATGGAGGACAGCGAAGCCGTCTCTTGAGGAGCTGCCAAAGACGAAGAAGGCCAGACGAGGATCCGAGACGCCATACAAGCCACTGGAAGATATTCTTTTCCAGTGGATCGGAGAGTTGCAACAGTCAGCGTGCATCGTCACACGCATGATGATTCGACAGCGAGCACTCTATGTTTACCGTACTAGGAAAGACATGGATCTCCCCAAGTCATTCAAGGCTTCGGGAAACTGGTGTTCGCGCTTCTTAAGGCGACACAACCTAGCGCTGAGGCAGAAAACACACATTGCACAGAAACTTCCTGCTGAAGTGGAAACCAAAGTGGGTTTTTTCCATCAATTTGTGATCCGTGAGCGAAAGAAGGTAGACTACGATTTAAGCCAGCTCGGCAATATGGACGAAACTCCCCTGAACTTTGACATGCCAGGATCCAGAACCATCGACACAAATACTGAATCCGGGAGATCCGACACAACAGAAATAGTTGCATACATCCCTGATGATTTCGAGGATGAATTGAACGATTACTATGACTACAAAACCGATTCAACAGCATGGGACATTCTCTGTGCGGAAGAATCCGACTCGGAATTTGATGGGTTCACCGAGGCAGATCTTGTGATGTGTTTCATTCCAGGTCGCCTTATACACGAAGTATAGGATTTTGGGTTGATTTCGAAGGCCTGTACAGGGGGGTCGTCTTATACGTGGGGTCGCCTTATACACAGCGATATACGGTAACGGTCTACGCAATTGGGATATGATGACATGCATCAACCAAGTCAGCGAGCCTGACCACCTGATCCTGTTATGTCACCTCTTTCAACAAGCATGCATTGCTGAAGACCAGTTGTAACCCTGATCTTCATGGGTACCCCCTATTCCTGGAGGATCCTTTAAATATCCCGGGACAGCCACTTTCTTTGGTCAAAGTAAAACTCAGACAAGAATCTACTACTCCTTACCTCATTCTCATAATGTATTTCCAACAGAGCTTTTGAGTTTCCCAGTTCCTCCATGACTTTTTCAGCCTGCTTGAGCAAGTCCACACGACTAACCATTCGCTGCAAATATACACAACATCATAACATTAACATAACATTAACACAGCATAACAGCATCTACTTGCAACTGCTAGTGCATTTTAAAATATTAATTTGAAAAAAATCACATCTTGTTCTTCAAAGAAAAGTTAATATGATACAAAGGAAAAACTACCACAAAACATATACATACACAATCCATTAAATTCAAATTGACCCCCCCCCATAGTTTTCTATCATTATCATATTTTAAACATTAGTGCACATATTCCAGCATTTGGTTATTGACTAACAGAAGTAGTGAACTTGTTTACCATGTTGATACTACAATTCTTCCAACTTTATCGAGACAGCCTGATAAACAATCAAGGCTTTGACATGCAAACCAGTGCATTAGGGTAATCACACGGACTCTTTGATTTTCATGCTTAATTGTGAGCAAGCACTTACTCTCCTGCGATCCAGACGTGGAGCTACTCTCTCACTGTCGTTCTGTATGCTGTCACCAGAGTTGTCCTGTTGTAGGCGCATCATGGCTCTATCTCGGTCAAACGATGTTGCGAAGAACAGCAGTTGCCGTGTGTCAAAGGGGAACAAGAATGGCCTACAAGGATACAAACAAAGGACCTGATATTGTATTACCAAATATTTAAGATCACTTGATTTTTTCACATGAATATGGTTAATCCGCCAAGTGATGCAGGAAACAAAGGGGTGGTTGTGAGTTGGTAAGGTTGGTATGGTTGCTACTTACGCTGCAGTGCCTATTTCCCCCAGCCAGTTGGGAAGGTTGCCTGTCATAATGATGAGGGGATCTTGAAGCTGACGGTTGGCCTTCGCTGTCAGTTTATTGCTGGTGAAGTCTGATGCTGGTAGCACCGGAGATGGGAAGAAGGACACCTGAAACAGACCACTTGCTGAACACTTGTCTCGAAGGTTATTTCTGTCAGTTTGATGTTGGAGCAAGATGCTGCATGTCAGTGTAAGACACACACACAATCTATGTTTGGAACCATGATCATACATTTCCGACACTCCCAAGGGACGCAATTCTGTACAGCAAAATTGTGGCACCTTAAACGACTAGGATGCTAATACAATCTTTAAAAGAAGGGATAGCAAGTCTAAAACCACACTATATTTTAATTTTTAAGCAGCCCAAACTGAGTTGGAAAAAGAATTTGTTTCTGGGGCAGGTGAATCATGACTGATGGCGAGAAAATATAGTCCTTTCAGAATGAAGTTTTGACCAAACACCACGGTATTTTTTCAGTATGTCAACCATAGAGCACACAGCAGTATCAATACTTGGGGCACACCAACAGCCTTCAACAATACATGCTGTTACTTACTTCAAACAGAGTTGCCCAGAGCCTGTTGAGAGAATGCAACACCCGCAACAGGGCAACGACATCTAGAGACGGGTCCTGCACTGTGACAAATGCTGGCAACTTGTCAGTGAGGAAGGCATTCAAGAGAGGAACTATCACAGAACAATGGCTATCTGAAAAACAAAATAAACATCTTGTTTTATTGATGCAGCATCAACAATCTGTACCCCTGTGTAAGTAGACAAGAGGAATCCTTACTTATTCGTCTGTGGCAAATTTATTGAAGAACCCTTTACCTCTTGCACTTTCTAATGTAAGGTTTATAGCAATGACCCTTCTGTGATCCTGGATTCAACCGGAAACATTTGATACCCACATGTTATTACGTCTCTCAGAAAATACAACATGGAGGATACTGGTAGCAAGGAACTTGGAATAGTTTCTTTGACTGCTTTGCAATGATAAAACAATAAAGTCTTTGACAATTTTGGAGTGATGTTATGGCATCCTTAGCCTCAAAATATTATCAACACTACAGTGGATGGGTGAGTGAGTGAGTTGGGTTTAACGCCGCTTTTAACAGTATTCCAGTTATATCACGGCTTGTCAGCTTAATGTGGGAGGAAAGCCCCAAGTGATGCAGGTCTCAGATGTTTACCACTTCGGTGAAACCCACGAGCACGAATATGGTGCTGACAAACCTAGAAACATAATCGGGGCGAACCGGGATTCGAACCCACAATCACAGGTTTCTGGCATGCCCAAGGGACGCAACTCTGCACAGCGAATCGCGGCGCCTTAGACCACTTGGACACCCGTGCCACCCAGTAAACTACGCTCATAACAACCTGACTCATATAACCAACCATTCTTTTTGGTCCCGGACATGTGCTGCATGTATGCTGTATACGAACTACGGTTATCATGAAATACAATTAGTGGTCCCTTTGAGCTTGTTATGACCGTAGTTTACTGAAGTTTGGCTTGTATCTCAGGCTCATTTCTGCCTTAAGTGACATACTGCAGCCACACACTCACCTTTATGCAGATCATCGTGTTTCCTTCGGGCAGCTTTAGCACCTTTTGACTCAGCTTTTGTTTTCTTTGGACTAGTAGCGGTGACCTCTTCCTGTTCAGCAGCCTGTCGGTACCTGTTATAGGGTGACATTCCAAAAATCATTACACGGAAACATAATGGCATTTATATTTTTCAAACTTGAAAATGAAGCTAAAAGACAAGCTTTGAAGTTCTCTTCCTATCAACAAAAGTTAAACTTAATATGTTGTCAAATGAACATCTAAATTTAAAACTATTCATAACTCTTTTACTTGTATCTATGCAGATAAAACAATCTTTAAAAAACCCTTCAAGACCACATAATTGTCATATCGTTAGTCCTTCAAATGTTGATTTGGGAGTTAGTTTACTGTATTCTGTTCAAGGTTACGCTATGTTTATAGCTTGATAACTGGCGGATATAATGAACATATATTTTGGTCCAGGCCATTTGCTGTCTACCTGCTGTATATTTGCTTATAATGAACTATGGTTATAACCAACTTAAATTACTGGTCCCTTTGAGTTCATCATAACCATAGTTTACTGTCTTTCATTTATCACTGAATGTGGTAGGAAAGCTCAAAGTGACACCAGCATTGTTCAAAATGAGGTCCAGGGCCCTGTTCCACAAAGCCATCTTAGCGCTAAGGTGATCGTAACCTGCATACATTAACACTGGCTTACTATGGTCGTAGCACTAAGGTTGCTTTGTGGAACGGTGCCCTGGGGTCCTTGAGGTTTGGTGCACTAGAATATGAATATAGGGACCCGAAAACTTGAGTTCTTACCACTAGGCCCCCAAAATTTCAAAACCTTACAGAAGTAAAAAATCATTTGGTGAAACCAATGAGCATGGTGCCGACTGATAAAGGATCATTATCAGATCTGATTCCAACCCATAACAAGCAGATCCTGCAATCTAATAGATATCAGTCTGTGCCATAGATCACTGGGCCACCCAACAGTGTCACCACTCCATGTGCGGTACAGTACTTACCATATTGTGTGGGTCTGTACCCAGATACCAGCGTGACTGAGAGGGTTCTCCGAGTCTGTGTCAGTCTCACTCCCCTCCCCACTAAGGCTGAACTGTTTGATTGCCTGGTACACGGTCATGTTGTAGGGCAGGACACGGTCTCCGATCAGGAACTCCAGGCGGTGCCGTGCTGTGCCCTGACTAATGAACACTGCTGCCTAGAGAGAGGGAATGACATATTTGCAGTCACATTAGATGTTCATGACTTTAACGGCATGACTAGATGCAGTTACCATATGTTAGTCATGGGACTAGAGAAAATCTTCAAGAGACTATCCCCAGACTTACCATAGTGTCCTCTACATCATCATCTGAGTTCTCTTCATCACTGATCTCCTCTTCTCCATCCTGAAAATACACAATAGAAGTCAATTTGAAATTTGGGTAAGATTTATATCAAAAGCACGACAAACCAACAAATTAAAGGAAACAGGCACTTATTTGTTTATTGTAAATCAGCCAGATCAGGTTAGACACTCCAACTAATTTGAGTGAGTGTGTCAGTCACTTGGGTTTAACACCACTTTTAACATTATTTCAGTTATATCACGCATGATGTGGGAGGTAAGCCCGAAGTGATGCAGCAAACTTGCTCACTGACTTGGTTGATGCATGTTATCGTATCCCGATTGCATGGATCAATGCTGATGATATCAATCACGGGATTGTCTGGTCCAGATTTGATTATTTACAGACCGCCGCCATGTAGCTGGAATATTGCTGAGTGCAGCGTTAAACAACAAACAAACAAATATTCACGTCAATAAATGAGTGAATGTCAAAAATGTCAGCCAAAGCAGATCGTGTGTAAAATATATCAAGCAAAAATCAGAAAAATCAATTGCTGAGTGAGAGTGAGTGAGTATCGTTTTACACCGCTTTTTGTAATATTCCAGCAATATCTCAACGGGGGACACTGGAAAATTGGCTTCACACATTGTACCCATGTGAGGAATCGAACCCGGGTTTGCGGTGTGACGAGCCAACGCTTTAACCACTAGGCTACCCAAGCCCTCCTATACAGGCTACATTGATCATCAAAGTGCATGTGTCTGTTTGAGGCTTCTTGCTCTACCTTGGTTCTCCCGTAACCTCTCATGACGAGGTACCTCTCTATTGCCTGGACAAGAGCTAGGGGGTCTATTTTTACTGGACCGCCCTTCCATTGCCTCAGAGATGAACAAGAAGGATGTCTTTGCAACTGGCACTGAAACAAAACAATGAGCGATTGAATGCATATTATTTTACACCAGAGTCAGTGATATTCTACCTTTGACCGACAACCCATAAATAATTGGGACAGGCAAACAACTGGTTTAAAGTATGAGCATGATCCACATTGTCAGTGCACTGAAACATCCAGTCACACTTTGTAACCACAAGATCCTCACCTAAGTTGGTTAATACAACATTGAGGCATGGAGGACTTATTCTTCCCTTGACTCCCAAAAGGGGAAACAAAACAGAAGAGTATATCCATATAATAAACAGAAAACTGTACTGTGTTTACAACACTCCTGTATTTATAATAAACTATTTACCTACTTTCTGAACGTCGATCTGACAAAGTATTCAGGGATTTTATCTAGGATGCCAAACTATGTGCCCTTGTCAGGTAAATTTGGAAAAAATATATCATTTTTTTCAAAATTGGGATCTTTCATTAATTTTTATTCTCTGAAATAAAAAACATTTGTGGCTTGTTAGCAACTAAAACAATAGAGCTCATTTGTGTTGAATGGTGATTTCAGAATATGGTAAAATGAAATTTGAATTGCAAACTATATCTTAAACTATAATCCAATGACAGAAAACAAAAACTGCACTTACTTTCAATTGATGTGTACTGAAGAACTTGAGAGCATTTGAACCCCGCCCACTTGAACTGTTGCCCCCTGGTAGATCATGCACTTTCACCTGGAACTAATACAAGAAATCTGGATAAAGTCTAACATTACATCCGACGGAATGTGTTACTAAGCCAGAGTCTGTAATATTCCAGCTATCTCACAGAGGCCTGTAATCGTTCTTTCAGGGTATCGATCACCTAATCTGCTTCCGAATCTGCATTGAATCTGATATCAGCATCTGCATCGGAGGGATAATACAATAAGTGAGAGTTTGGGGTTTAACGCTTCTTTGAACAGTATTTCAGTTATATCATTGACTGATATAATCAGTAACTAATAAGGGCGAAACAGAATTTGAACCCAACACCATACAGAAATTACTTGTAGATCCAACTTGAACCAACACAGAAACACTGTGACAAATCAGAGTACAATGGCGTTGACATAATGAAAAGAATGTGTAGTTTTGCAAGTTTTGTGAGTGAGTGAATTTGATTTTACGCCGATTTTAGCAATATTCCGGCAACACGTACCCATGTCGGAATTCTAACCCGGGTCCTCGGCACGACGAGCGAACACCTTAACCACTAGGCTACCCGACCGCCCCTTTGCAAGGAGTGATTGAAATGGATTAAACGCTGCTTTGAACAGTATTCCAGTTCTATCATGGCGTGTCAGCTTAATGTTGGTGGAAAGTCTGAGGTGCTGAGAAACCTAGAAACATAATCGGGATGAACCGGGATTCAAATTAACAATCACAGGTTCCTGGCTTGCCCAAGGGATGCAACTCTGCACAGTAAATTGCGGCCCCTTAGATGACTGGGCCACCGATGCCATCAGTTTTGCAAAGCAGTTTACACTTGACATCAAATGGTGACACCAAATAATTCATCTTTTTCTTGTGGGAATTGTTTTTATATACTCAGGCAAGCTTTGACTGACTACTTATCAACTACTGTATCAAGTTCACGAACATCACATTGGTTGTCTGTAAAATGCATAGTGTCACTGTACCTGTTCTAACTGATGCAGACACCCCATCATCTTGCTGACAAGTGGGTACAGCTGTCCCTGCTGATCCTCTATCCTCTCTTTAATATAGGTCACCTCAGGGAGCTGCAAACAATCACCACTACATTCAAGCTCTACAACATTGACTGGAAACTGTTTCTGGATATACCAGGGGTAGACAGATGCCACTGGTCAAATCAAGCTCAGGTCAGACCAGTGGTTAATGTAAAATAACTAAATTTGGGGAAACAAGCAACTCAAGATTTTCACTAGTCTCAGATAAATTTGTTTGTCGTTAAACACTGCACTCAGCAATATTCCACATATATGACGGCAGTCTGTAAATAATCAAGTCTGGACCAGACAATCCAGTGATTGATATCATGAGCTCTGATCCTAGCAACTGGGATGCAATGACATGCATCAACCAAGTAAGCCAGCTTGACCACCAGATCCCGTTAGTCGCCTCTTATGACAAGCACAATCGCCTCTTACGGCAAGCTTTGGTTGCTGAAGACATTTTCTAACCTGGATCTTCACGGGTCTCAGATAAATTGACTAGTGGCTATGTCTATCTGTGTTAACATGTATCCAACATTATATCACAAAAACATGAAAACCGAACCTAAACAAAATAACAGTGTATTAAGTTGTTGAGATGTGGTGGTATTAAAACAATGCTGTTGTAGCTCCACCACAACAAACTACAGAAATAATCTGAGACTTTACTTTTCGTCTCGTAACATAGGCTTTCAACAGCCCATTTTCTGAGTGCAAAATCAGAGAAAATTGAAACGTTCAGGCAACAAGTCTGAAAAGTTTATGACAGACTACAGATATCTTCCTTTCCTGCACAAACTGAATCAGTACTACTATCTGCTAACATACCGGACATCCTAGGAAGACATGGAGAAACAGCCTGATGCGAAGGTCCCGGGGGACAGAGCCTGACGTGGATGTCAGGTACATCAACAGTTTCTTTACAAGGCCGCTGTGGATGATCTCAAAAGGTGAGACATCGCTCTCCTTCATAATACTGGAAATCTCCTTCAGAGCCGACAGGCTTTCATCATTCTGAAAAGAACAACATTCAAGCCACTGACTGACTATGACAATCAAAACACATATGTTGCAAATGTAAAAGGTAGAAGCAATTACATTTGAGAAAAGAACTTCTTTGACTTCCCATGAAGACTTAGACAGGTTCATTCAATTTCATTAAAGTGTTGTGTCTACAGCACACAGTGGTCAATCTTATGGTCAACTTTTAATTTCCATAAACAAATTGTGTTTATTGACCTGTCTGAAGGAGCATGGTTTTACACGGCTTTTAGCAATACACCAGCAATATCGAGGCAGGGGAACCCAGAAGTAGGCTACGTATATTGTACCCATGCGGGCAACTTAAGCCAGGTCTTCAGAGTGACGAAGACTGTCTACTTTAAAGTGATGACATACAAGAACAGGCACAAAAATGCAGAACTAATGCCTGTACCACTAGGAAACATGCAGTTGCTTGAGACACAGTGATTGCTCTGATAACAAGAAAGTTCACCCACGTCTAGAGAGAGTTGTTCAGTGGCTGTGCACAACCTGTTGAGAACATTGAGGGCTGGGTGACTCCCACCGGGAGCCTCTGTTGAGAAATACTTCTCGAGGAATTTGGTAGCTGAAAATACAAAGATTTAACTTAAAACCCTCATTGCATATAAATGTTTCCTGACAAATCAAGTCCTGATAGAAATTTAGAAGTTGGAAGAACATGAAGACATGTACCTTTTATGGATATCAACTTCTTTGTTGTTCGTTACAACATTTGTGGGCTACTTCTTGCCTCTTTATCAGGGGGCATTCTACCATTCTAACATGATTTTAGAAATTACTCGATTCGGATTGGTCAATGAGAGGCTATTAAATCACAATAAACCCTCTCTGATTGAAACATTTATGGGCTACTTCTTGCCGCTTTATCAGGAGACAGAAGGAGCAATAAGTCGCCCTCAAATGTTGTTACAAACAAAGAAGTTGTTATCCACAAAAGCTTCACGTATTCATTTCCTGACAAAGCAGAATGAAGTGGTGACATACAGAGTCAGCTTGGTTGTTATACTGGCTTACCCTGCTCTTTGATCCATGCTCTCACTTTCTCCCTGTTCGCTGATGATGTGTTGTAAGATATCTTCTGTACAGATGTGTCCTGCACAAACAAGAAACATATTGGGTTAAAGGTGAGTACGTGGTGCTGACAAACCTAGAAACATAATGGGGGCAAACCAGGATTTGAACCCACAACCATAGGTTTCTGGCGTGCCCAAGGGACGCAACTCTGCACAGCGAATCGGCCACCCACGCCCCCTTGAGTTAAAGGAATGACTATTGATTATGTGGGCTTGTGAGTGAGTGAGTGAGTGAGTGAGTGAGTGAGTGAGTGAGTGAGTGAGTGAGTGAGTGAGTGAGTGAGTGAGTGAGTGAGTGAGTGAGTGAGTGAGTGAGTATGGTTTTACGCCGCTTTTAGCAATATTCCAGCAATATCACAGCGGGGGACACCAGAACGCGAACGCTTTAACCACTAGTCTACCTGACCACCCGCTTGTGAGTGAGTGTGGTTTAACTCTGCATTTAGCAATGATCTTTGTGAGATACGAAGAATGGGCTTCACCCACTGCAACATTTGGTGAGTATTTGACATGTTATAATCTGCATATTTCTTATGATTTATCAACCTAAACAGGAGATATTGCTTTGCAGACAATTGACGTCATCAGTTGCCATGATGTGATTATCAATGAATTGGTACACAACCTTCTTTGCAGAAACTTCAGTCCATCTCACTTGGAGGATAAAACTTCACGTGACACTGATGTTGTATGAAGGGAATTTTGTATTTGCTGAAACGATGACATGAGACATACCTTTGGTAGAGGTGGCCTATCAGAAGAACTCGAGGAACCACCAAGACGACCCCAACTTCTTGGATTCAAACTTGTCAAGAAGGTTGCCTTTGGACCAGAACTAGATTTACTGTCTTTGCCTGCAACAACCACAGCTTATTATGACTAAATATACCAATTAATATTAATTGAATAACAATTGTCACATGAAAATTTGAAATAAACATGAAAATTTCAATGCAAAAGATTAGGACACGAATTCTTTGTGGTAGTTTTCAGAGATGCAAATAACATGAAAAGCATACTTCAAAGAAACACTGCTGGGAAAACAACCATTCTTTCTCCAATAAACTTTGGGCTTGTGCATGGAATGATTTTACATGTGTCTTCCAGTCATGGTGAAAGACTTTTTCTTTCATCATAGGCTATTTCCTTGGCTGAAGCATCATTGGTTTCAAGCATGTAATCTTTCTAACATAACATAGCTATCTTATTATTGACGTAGGACCAATTTTACTCACTTGAAGATTTCCCCCGACCGGAAGTTCTGCCACTGAGGACTGGTCCACCACGAGCACCCGTTTCCATCACATCATCAGATTTGTTGCCTTTTCTGGTTGGACCTCGTTTTGGGGGTCGTTTCCTTTTAAGAACATCACTCAAACGCCTGAAAAAGACACCAGAAAGGAACATTTTGGAGTGTTTCAGGTCTAAATGTGACTGACAAAAAATGAAAAACTACAGCCACATAACTGTTATTAGTGATCAGAACTAAGAAGGCTCTTCCAGTCCCTGGTGGTTCAAAAAGTGCTTGAACCTCTGCAACTATCGTATCTCACAAAGTTTAACATGGACTTATATTAGTCATAGCGGGAGTAGTGCACTTTACGGGGCTCACTTTTTCAGATCCAGTAAGCGATGTGGGGGCTCGAATGCACTTCGCTGGCTCAGCTAATTCATGCGTTAATTAGCCAACGCTCTACCACTAGACCATGAGTGTTATCACATGTAATCAGTGCTTGGTTAATGGGTCATTATCACCCCACAAGCACGCGTAATTAAGTAAACAATGAATTGCGCATGCGTGTGACGTCACGGTCCACTCTCCCATTCATCTTTTCTTGAAATCACCTCCTCTATTGTTTGTCAACATGACCGACCAATTGGATAAACCGGATTAACGTTTGAAAAGGTAAGAATTTATGGCTAACCCTTGCCCTAAGCAAGCTAACCCTAAGGACCGAAAAGGGATGTTGGATCCTAAAGACGTGTAAGTTTCCCTAAGACCAAAAAGGGGTGTTTGATCGTAAAGACGTGTAAATTTCCCTAAGACCTAAAAGGGGTGTTGGATTACAAAGACGTGTAAATTTCCCTAAGACCGAAAGGTCACAAATTCGAAATCCAAGTCAAACAAACTTTCTGTCTCTCTAGTGAGCTCAGCTTGCTACAGCCCGTATGGACTCCAGTTTTTGGCAGACAGTATCAAAGTGTCTTGCATGAACTGTAGACTCTGACAAGCAAGACTACGACATACATCTGTGGGGACTCATCAGGCTGAGCAGTTGCTCCGGGCGAGATGGTTGTGATTTCTGTCTCCTTCTTCTCAATGGTGTCCCCGCCGATGCTACCAGACCCTGAGCCCGAGGTGCTGCCCCCACTGCTGTTGCTGGTGAGACTGTGGGAGGAGGAGGTGGAGATGGACTTGGAGGTGGTGGATGGGGACTGTAGATCCATATCAGACAGAAACTTTATCTGGTGCATGACACCTGGAAGAGTTAAAAATGCCGAGTTAGTCAGTGAGTTGCATATGTCAATAACTGTCATATTAGGGCATGTTACAACCATATTGTAGAACTGCATAAAATGACTCAGGTTGTAAACATTTACCACTTGTCAAACCCACAAGCAAGGTTGTACTCAGCAATATGACGGCAGCCTATGAGTAATCAAATATGGCCTCGAAAAAACAGTGATTGATATTGCGAGCATCAATGCACTCAGATGGGTTCCAATGACCAGCATAGGTTACTGGTGACCTATTCTAACCCGGAATTCCCATGGGGTTAACATTATGGTGCTGACAGACCAAAAATGAAAACGAGGGTGAATCTCAGTTTTGAATCCATAACCAGCCAACATCATGCAAACAACTTTTAGCAATCTGCAGAGCAACGGACCGCAGAGCCTTGACTAACAACACCACCCGATTTTGATAACAACCATTGATCCTGGTAGGACTAAAGAACAACCAAGGCACCTTAGACCACTGTTCTACCTGGGCCCACAATTAAATACAGAAATACTTACTTCCAAGTTTATATACGGTAAATATAGTAGATCCATCTCATGTCACAATCTTGGCAATAACACTTCAGAACTAGGTGAGGTGAAAAAGAATTTAAGATTATTTTACTTCTATATTAATGTGCATGCACATGCGCACCACTTGTACTAGTCTGGACAAATGCCGGTTTTCTTGTGCTAGCTAACCGTATCACTGTTGAACAAGAAAACCCCACTCAGTCTGCTGACTCCAAGCCAACCAGTCCTAGTTTCAGCCCCTGAATGCCAAGCGCCAGGCAGGGTATCAACAAGTATAATCTTTTAACACCTTTTGGTATGATGCGTTCGAGGATCTAACTCCAACCCTTTTGCTCTCTGGGTAGATGCTCTACCACTAGACCGAGGCGACGGTCCACTTCAGGAGTAGGATATCAAAATGGGACATATTATACTCACAGTATACACAAGTGGTAGACAGAAAAAGTGAAGCAATTTTCAGATATCTGCACGAACATTCTTGTGATTTTCAATGTTGATTGCTCAGTTGAAGTGACATGACATCATTTTGCTCCAATGTTGTGAACAATACGATTGATATCAGTCAATGACATCAAGACTTGATGATATAACAGTTTCATAGCAACAATTTTACTTCAGTGATGTTTTTTGAAGGGTCTCTTGTGAACATATGCTGCAATTCAGGCTCAAAGATGACACTTTTTGTGTGTTCGTTTGTTTCTTTGTCTATCCATTCATTCATGACAATCCATAGTTCCTCACCGCTCATTGGTTTTATTTGCATGATAAAGTGATGTAAGCATGGCAAACTCACCTTCTCTTCTGAAATATATGCCAAAGATATCCTCCAGTTTCTTCATCAGGATGTCTGCCATCTGTATAGCTCCTACCACCACCTTGAGGTCTGGGGAGGCCATCATGGCAGCAATGTGGCTACAACAAACACAAAGACATTGACACAAGGGCTTTTAAACACTCTTCATTGTGGCCTCAGTATAATTCACAATACAGTAAACAATGTTTATAACAAACACGCTTATAACGAACTGGCGGATATAACGTACTGTTGTTTTGGTCCCGGCCATTTGCTGTATATATGCTGTATATATGCTCATAACAAACTACGGTTATAACAAACTAAAATTTGTGGTCCCTTTGAGTTCGTTATAACCGTAGTTTACTGTATATGTGGGGGCGGTCGGGTGGCCTAGTGGTGAAAGCGTTCACTCGTCACGCCGAAGACCCGGGTTCGATTCCCGACATTTTGTGCTAAGGTTCTGATAAGAGATTTAGCTGGTAGTGACACTTCCAACATGTAGATATGGTGGCTACAAAGGTCCAGGGTATGGATCATAACAGAGTGAAGATACACTGTGTACTCGAGGATGCAGTCTTTGTCAAAGAAATACATACTGGTAACATAGAGCATGAACAGATAATCTGACCTTGACACTGGCTGGTTCCTCAGCACCTCTTTGAGCAGGTCAGATGATGCGTAGTAGATCATTCGCAGCAGTGTCTGCAGACACTTGTGTCTCACGGTAGGGCCAGCCTGTGGACAAGGCACACAAAATAGTACTAAGCACATCTTCACAATAGTCTTACTTTTCAGCGTTAGAAATTGGCACTAGTCCTGTAGTCCTTACCAAACTGCCCAATAGTAAAGGTATCCTAAGGACCAGTAGAAATTGGCCAATTTTAAGGGTTTTGCTATATGTTATTATTATAAGGACTAGTGGACAAAAACTGTTAGTTTCTAACCCTGCTTTTCACAATTTTAAAGCCAAACCTGTTAGGTTATCTGTTGGACTCATAAACTGAGGTAATAATAGCCAACATGATTCGGACTTAGAGAGGTATGATTGTACCAGGGCAATTCAAGCTGATGATAGATTATTCAAAATAGTACAATTGGCACAATTGACAAAAGTCTTCAAAAGAATATAATTTCAATTGACAAATTCAATACAATTTCTTATGCAATGTCTTTAATATTGCCCATAAGGAACTCTAAGGAAATCTTCATAACTTCTTACAATTGTTATATAGACACTTTGTTGTTATGTAATGTTCATATGCCTGGTAATGACTTACAGAGGAGCTGTAGACCTCATACAGCACGGAGAAGAGCGTCTGAATGAAGGCCGTAGCCAGATCACTGTCCTCCTTCAAGATCTCAGCACGAGAGTCACATCTCTCTAAGTTGGGGTCCGCAGACACAGACGTGGCTGAAATACACAATGTATGCTGTAGTTGTACATAAGGAGGAAAATATAGCCACATGGCTCTGTAGCTCACCTGAATAATGAGGAAATAATGTCAGCTATGTTTAAAGTCAGAATTGAACTCTACGAGAAGTTCTTAGAGACACCGTAATTGGGATCATTCCCAAAGTCTCAGCTTCATAGGCCAGCAAATGTTAATGATGCATGGACACACCACATATGTTCACTTAACTTTCGGTCAGGTGAGCTTAAAAAAATGTTAGCTAAAATCTATAACACATTGATACATCCCCTAGCCAGTTGAAATCAACTTCCATTACACTGATACACCACAGTGTTACACTGTGGTCTTTTTACACTATTCCTGCACAGATCTTGTCTCACGATGTGGATAACCCTGTTAATGACGCTTCCCAGCATTAAGTCTTTGATAGGCATTCAGAAGTTTGAAGAACATGAATACATGACACTTTTTATTGATAGCATATTTTTCAAGGATAGAATAAAAGTTGCTATCCATAAAAAAGTTTCATGTCCCCAGGATCTCTTGTTAACAAAATGTATTTTGAAATGAGGGATGGACTGATGCCTAGCAATCACTGATTAGATAATTCCAACATGTCATTTCATTCTATTTACACCACTAAACAATAACATGCAGAGTTTTACCAGAGTGAGTGAGTGAGCTGGGTACTTAATGCTGTGTTTTACAACAGTATTCCATTAATGTCACAGCGTGTGAACTTAACGTGGGAGGAAAGCCCAAAGTGATGCAGGTCTCAGACATTTACCAAAAGCAGTGGTATGATGCTGACAAACCTAGAAACATGGACCGGGCTTGGAACACACAATCATCCTGCTCAAAGCATGCAACAAACAGCGAATTGTGCCCCACAGATTGGACCACCCGTGCCTCCTAGTTTGACCAGAAATACCCATAAAACATGTATGTTATCTATGTCATTAGTCATCGGCAGCTACAGTCCTAAACATCAATTGGATGTTAACTTATTTGAATAACCTTACCTGTCACAAGCCAAACCAAGTACTGTAAATCATTGAATTAATGCCTCACCAAGTTAATGGAGGGTTGACCCCTAGCCTAAAATACAGTTCTGCCTTTGAGCTAAAAAATGTAATCAGCAAATGACAACACTAAAAGTGTAGGCCTAGAAATTCCAGGATATCGAAAGGGGTGACAGCAGTTCCAGTGAATAATGTATTTTTTAGAGTAAAAATGTCATTCATTTTTATCTCGACTCTTCTTATGCTTATCTCTCTCTTTTCCGAATAGTTGGTTGAAACATCCTGTGCTATGTTCCCAGAGAACAGTGAAAACAGCTCACCCAAACGCACCCTCCCTCTGCACATGCGCACCAGAACCACGTTACCAAGCCCAGCAACTCAATACTCTCTCACAATTATTTGTTATCTTTACAAATTCAGCTATGAACTGCTTGACATGTGATCTAACTTCTATGAAATCAAAAGCAGGAAATTCAAATAACGTATATTCAAATGAGATGAGGCTGATCGCCAACGAAGATTGAACACGATCCAAGGGATGTTACACAAGTTGGCACAGTTAATTTCATCATTAAAAGTCATTTTCCGGATGAATGCTAAACGCTACTGACAGTGTCAGTACCTGATGAGCTCTGCTGTGATGCTGGGGCCAGGGGATTTAGTTTGCGTTGTACAGGACGTGCTGTACCAGTATCTTCGTTGATTTGTTGCATTGAGTTAAAGTCAACTGCGTAGGACCGGCCCATTGTGGAAAGGCTTACCTCGTCTTCACCAGCTTGATATGCAGCCTGAAATATAAGTCAAGGTTAAGAAAACAATCATACCACAGTCAAAGAAGAGGAACCAGGGTAACTAAGTGAGCAGGTTGGGTTTAACGCTGCTTTGAACTGTATTTTAGTTATTTCACATCTGGTCACCTTGAACTTGGAAGGAAAGCCTGAAGTGATACACAGGTTAGTCAGACACAAATTTGAACATTTTTTACATGCACTTGGTGCATGTACACATAAATATAAGGTTGCTTTTCACCCAGAAAACAGTGTTTTCCCTATCCCCCACCATGGGGCACATTAGAATTTTGTTGTGTAAAATGGTACTGAATATAAAATATAAAATAGAATCCCATAAAGCCTTAAGAAGAGATAGATATTTGGGATGACTTTTTGTCATCAGAAAATATGATAAAATCTGAAATTAATTAACACAAAAGGCCCCTTCTCTGGAAAAAATAACTCAGTCTTGATGTTTGTTGTTTAACGCCACACTCAGCAATATTCAAGCAATATGATGGCGGTCTGTAAACAAATCGAGTCTGGACCAAGACAATCCAGTGATTGACATCATGAGCATCGATCCACACAATTGGGATATGATGACATGCATCAATCAAGTCAGCGAGCCTGACCACCCGATCCTGTTAGTCGCCTCTTACGACAAGCACAGTTGCCTGTTACGACAAGCATGGGTTGCTGAAGACCTATTCTACCCCGGATCTTCACAAGTCTAGCATATCTGAGAAAAAGGATATTGTCTGCAGTGTAAACTAGGGATGTCACGACACAAATCACCATACTTTGTTCATGATATGACATGTATCGCAATACTTAATTTGCAGTAATTTCATAGTGCATAAACACTATTAAAAACACCAGACACTTCCTGAATACTTGGTCTCTTATTTGAAAATAAATATGTCTCATTTCAATTAATTTCAGATTAAACTCGAGTGTCAACATCAGTTAGAAAACGACTAAAACAAAATTTAAGTCTTAAAACTATGTACATTGTACAATAAATAGCATAAATTAATAATGATAAAATCATTTATTAAAATGTAGGTAAGACCAATCTGCCAACATCATTCCATGTGTGAAATGATACAGGACCAAAATATGAATCGATACAGGATTAAAATATGAATCGATAAAGGAATAAAATATGAAGTGATAAAGGATTAAAATATGAAGTGATATAATTAAGTGTGTATTGGGTGAGAACATTGTTGATGCATGATGTATTGGTGAATCGTGACATACCAAGCGCAAACCCCACTAAAAGCCTGTTCTGCTCAACTCAGATTGAGTGACTGGACGTATGTGTCTTAAAGCTAAGGAACCAGCAATGTGAAACTATTGCGAAACAGTTTGCCTTCCTCAACTGGCAATAGTGTTGTAGTTAGTTTGCCTACCTCAACAATCCTGCTGTCAATAGTGGTGTAGGGTAGTTTGCCTACCTCAACTATCTTGCTGTCAATAGTGTTGTATGGCCGCCACATTGCCCTGTCGTCCTGCCACTGCCATATCACAGAATCTGTATTTACACACCCGCCTTTCCGTAACATTGAATCAATGGCAAAAATGCCATCATTTGGCAACTTCGGTAACAACTCTCTGAAAACATACAAAATGATAGCATTGCTGTCTATGCAACATGTCAAAACCAACACATATTCCTACTTGTCCTTATGATGGCACAACAAGAAATAATTACAATGTTGAAACATCTCATCATATTGTTTGTTTGTTGTTTAATGCAGCACTGAGCAATATTCCAGGTGTATGACGTCAGTCTCTAAATAATCGAGTCTTGACTACACAATCCAGTGATCGACACTACAAGTAAATATTTACACAGTGGGGGTACAATGTGTACATTATGAATTTGGTTGTGACCACAGGGTGACTGCTTTCCACGTGGATATCACAAAGAAGGGTTTACGATTCAAATGTTTCAAGTCTCACTTGAAATTATGACAAAAGGGGTAAGAACTGTTGCACTCACCCTGTCAAACAAACTATCTCGTATAATTCCTGGGGAGTTCGGGAAACAAGCTGAAATAAATGTAATGGACAAATTTAAAGATACTCACAAACACAGAGGATAACTCATAATTTTCTAATAGTGAACCAATACTATTATTTAACACACGTATACACTTATTTGACACACTTATTTCCATTTATTTGTAAGCATAAAATACATACTGTGGACACTGCAGTTAGGACAGTATGTTAATGTTGGTACTTAGGACAAAAAATTGCCAAATGTTATACTACAGGAATAACTAATGAGTAGACTTAAGCTGTTTTAGTTAAGATCTGGTGATACATAGTGAGTGAGTTGGATTTAATGCCACTTTGAACAGCATTTCAATTATATCGCTAAGTCAGCTTGATGTGGGAGGAAATCCCAAAATGAGGCAGGCCTTTGATATTTATCACCTTGGTTAAACCCACATGCACGGGTATGATACTCACAAACTGAGAAATATAATAAGTGCTAACTGGATTCAAACCCGATATCTTAGACTTCCAGCATGTCCAAAGGATGCAACTCTGCACTGGGTGGTAAAAAGCAACAATCAAGTAAGAAACTGATTTATGCCACATTCAGCAATATTCCAGCTATATGGCGGCGGTTTGTAAATATTTGAGCTTTGACCAGACAATCCACTGATTGACATTATGAGCATCAATTTACACAATTTGGATGTGATGACATGCATCAACGAAGCCAGTTAGCCTCACCACGACAAGCATGGATTGCTGAAGACCCATTATAATCCGAACGTTAACGGGGTTGATACAACATGAGTGTCATCAATAACAGGGACAGAACAGGAGTGTAGTTGTAAGTTATTCAGGAACCAACCTTATTGCTCCTCAGTGAATGAGCACTGACCTCTATAGTCTTCTCGGGTTGTTCAGAGGCTCCTATTAACAAGTAACAAAGGGTCTCTGCTATTTCTGCAAAGAGAATAACAATTCCAAGATGAAAAGAAACCAAGTAAAATGCCAATTTTCATGGCATTATTTCTCGGTATGCACAGTATACTGACACCGAGCCGACCAGTCCTTGTTTTAGCCCCTTAATGCTGAGCGCCAAACAGGCTAACGACAAGTACCATCTTTTAACGTCTTCTGATATGACGCGGCCGGGGATCGAATCCTGGACTTTCCGCTCTCTGGGCGGAAACTCTACCACTAAGCTATGGAGGTGGTCTCGGAAACCCTGAAGTTATGAAGGCCTTAGATGACTTAGACTTTGGTGATACCCATGAGTATTGTTATAGTGTAGACAAACCTAGAAACATAATCATGGCTAACTTGGTTTCAAACATAATCATAGGTTTCTGGAAAACATAAGGAATGTAACAGTATTTAAAATAGTGTCACCTTTACGACTTGACCATTAAAGTGAGTATGATCTTAAGCCAATGTTAATATTTAAGCATCGTCACATCTTGATTGGGCTTCAAATGTGAAGAATGAAATGTAAATGTTCTTTTAACCACTTGGCTACCCACTGACCCCAAAGTGTTTCAAAAGTCAAAACAACAGAAGGTGAGGTGAGGTGAAATTGGGTTTAACGTCGCGTCCAAGATTATTGCACTTATATAGCGACGTGCATGCACGTGTGTGTGTGTGGCTGCTTGTACTAGTCCGGACTGATGCCGATTTATAGTGCTAGCTCACTGAGATACCATGCCGCAGTTTAACATGAATACCCCACTCAGACACAGTATACTGACTCCGAGCCGACCAGTCCTTGTTTTAGCCCCTTAATGTCGAGCGCCAGACAGGGTAACAACAAAGACCATCTTTTGACGTCTTTTGGTATGACGCGGCCTGGGATCGCTCTCCGGGCGGACGCTCTACCACAAGACCATAGAGGCGGGTCGAAACAACAGAAACACTTCCTTTTAAAATGAGTAACAACATGCACTACTGCTTTCACTGGAGTAAGTGAGTGAGTGGGTTGGGTTTAACGCCGCTTTTAATATTATTCCAGTCATTGTGGCATGTCAGCTTAATATGTGAGGAAAGCCCAAAGTGATGCAGGTCTCAGACGTTTACCACTTCGGTGAAACCCACGAGCACAGGTATGGTGCTGACAAACCTAGACACATAATCAGGGTGAACCGGGATTCGAACCCACAATCATAGGTTTCTGGCATGCCCGAGGGACGCAACTCTGCACGACTGGGCCACCCGTGCCCCCGCTTTCACTGGAGGAGAGAAGGAGTGGAGTTGAGTACACCTACTTTGTTTGAGCAGTACAACCGCCAGATCAGGACAGCTGGCACACATGACACCCAACATCCGTATGACCATCACAAATGTGCCTGTACTGATGACCGGGGGACTCACCACCAGCTGCAACAGAAACATAGTATGCAGATACATGCACAAACAGGAACAAAAATAGGAACAAGAGTCATCAGAAAGATGACATATCCCCCCGGCAGCTGTCTGTAAAGTAACCACAAGTAAATGTGCAATTCTGTATGTAATGAGTCAAGAGTTGAATGTTCTTTAAGAAGCATACATTTTTTACCAACAAAAGATCCACCATGGTCGCATCCATATGAAATGGAAAGTAAAACGTGTGTTTCTGTGGGTTTTTTTTATGCAAACAAATGACAAATTACAAAAAAACAATAACTAAACAAGCGTATAGTCAACGAAGTCATCTATATCCCCCGCCCATTTTAACACGTTATGGTCCCAAACCAGGTAACTGACCCAACATTTCTCTTAGCCCATGTCAAAATAGCTGCAATGGAAATTCTAAATAAACATTTCTAAAACTCCTAATTATCAAATGGCACCAGTTCAGCATGTTCAGTATGTACTTTATATATAGACATGCAATGTTTGGCAAGGAAATATTTAACAGATTATTTGTTATACTCCATAAGTGAACCCACCCTATATGAAAACTTAAGTCCAACTTGTTGCCATGGAAACGTTAAAAATAAAAATTTCTAAAATTCCTAAATAGCAAAAGGCACCAGTTCAGCATGAGTCTGATAGACATGCAAAGTTTTGTTAGAAAGTTTTGAATGGGTTTTGAGTTATGCTAAGGAAACGAACTCTACCCAATAGAACCTAAGTACAACTGGTTGCCATTGAAACGTAAAAATAATATTTAAATTTTTTTCCTAAATAGCAAAAGGCACCAGTTCAGTATGTGCCTGGTAGACATGCAAAGTTTTGTAAGAAAGTATTTAATGTTTTTTGAGTTACGCTCCAGAAACGAACACCACCCTTACAGAACCTAAGTCCAACTTGTTACCATGGAAACATAAAAAATAAAAAATTCAAAAATTCTTAAATTCTTAAATAGCAAAAGTTTCGATCAAATACACTGAATTGTTTTCGAGTTCTGCCCCAGAAAAGGAAATGATTACGGACGGACAGATGGACAGACGGATAGACTGGCTGATCGCTATATCCCCCTGCATTATATGCCGGGGGGATAAAAAGCAGTCATAAATAATATTTATGCAAGATATAAAATACTAAAATTTAGTTTGACATGGTTATTGATAATCAATGAAATTCTCCTTGTATCAAACAAGTGTATCTACAAAGCATAATTTTCTAATCACACATCCATGTTTACCACTCAAAAGAAGAACACCCAATTTTTATATGACTATACCTAATTGATCATGAAAAGCCTCAATTTGAGTAGTTAGTATATATTCATTATTTTGGCCACATAGTTTAGTTCTTGAAATATCTGGAACTTACTTTGTTTATGACACAAATTTAGTTAGAAGCAGTAACAATTTGTCAAGTAAACATTTAACAACAGTCAAGTGACAAAGTGATTGAATGAATAATGTTTTGTGTTGATCATAATCCAACATATCACAGAGGTCCGTAAATATTTGAGTCTGGACCAGGGAAACAAGTGGTCGACAGTATGAGCATGCATACACACAATCTCAGCTACTGTAACCACACAACCCAACCACGAGGTCCTCATTGGTCAGTTTGTGACATGTTTTGGAATCCAGGAATCTATTCTGCCCCGGAATCCCAACAAGACTGGTCTAGTGCCAGAAGCACTATGTTGCCAAAAGTGTAGGTACTGATCGAACATACTGGAAAGTATCTAGTCCAGGCTGAGGATTCTCTACAGTGGCTGAGCAGTGCCAACTGCACACCAGATACCATTTGGTACCCAAAAACTTGGTACTTCTCATGAAGAAAAATATCAAACTTTTATCTTTTATCTTTTTTATCTTGTTTGTTTGTTGCTTAACCCTGCATCAGCAATATTCCAGTAATATGATGGCGCCTGTAAATAATCTAGTGTGGACCAGACAATCCAGTGTTTGATATTGCGAACAACAATCCACACTGTATGGATTTGATGACACACAATCAACCAAGTCATCAAGTCACAGAACAAATTGGTCACCACTTATGACCAGCATAGGTTGTATTCTAATGAGTGAGTGAGTGAGTGAGTGAGTGAGTGAGTGAGTGAGTGAGTGAGTGAGTGAGTGAGTGAGTGAGTGAGTGAGTGAGTGAGTGAGTGAGTGAGTTGGGTTTAACGCCACTTTTAACAGTACTCCAGTTATCTCATGGCATGTCAGCTTAATGTGGGAGGAAAGCCCGAAGTGATGCAGGTCTCAAACGTTTACCACTTCGGTGAAACCCACGAGCACGGGTATGGTGCTGACAAACCTAGAAACATAATCGGGGCAAACCAGGATTCGAATCCACAATCATAGGTTTCTGGCGTGCCCAAGAGACGCAACTCTGCATAGCGAATCGCGGCGCCTAAGACGACTGGGCCTCCTAATCCGTACTGGCAACAGGGGTTTATCTGTAGTATAGCCAGTAAGGCAGTTATGTGCACTGACCAGCTGTTGTATGTTGGAGAGCAGGCCATGAACAGCTATCTCCTTCAACAGTCTTTGGTCACTCTGGAAGTTGTCCACGAGTCGAGAGAAGCACAGACACACACTCTCTACTGATTTCTTGTCCTGAAACAAACGTACAGTTACGATGAAGAAACTGAAACAACAGATAACAATAATACTCCTCCCTGACAATAACACCATTCCTATGCATGTTGTGACCTAAACAAACAGGACAAAAGCCTGAGTATTGTAAACTCTCTTGGGGGAAATAATTATCCCAATACTAACAGTAAAATTTGAACAATGATGTGTCTACTGGACTCAAAAGTGTCTCACAAGTTTTGTACAGATACGCAGAGAAGATACTGCTTTACAGTCTGTCACAGGACTGTTGGTCCTAACTTGGCTCTTAGCATCATTTTCAGAAGAACTTACTGTTATCAAAAGTATTATTATTAGCTGAGCTTACAAGACCAAACAGAATATTACTAGGGCTCGGACTATTGGCTTATGTTGCAGAGAGTTAACTGAGAGCTGACAAGAATTCTACCAGCATGATAGAGTAACGGAATTTCAAATGAAATATTCATTATTGGTTCTTGGTTTTGCTTTTGTGTAAGCAGAGATAGGACTACAGGGCCCAGTACAAACCTGGTGGCTGAGTCTCCCACTCAGAAGAGGCAGTGAGTCCCTGACATAGTGGAATTCTTCTGAGGATAGACTCTGTACACAGTTGGCTGTGACAGTTAGGGCACTGCGCTGAGCAGAGATGCTGAAGAAGTCTATGAACATCAGACATGCAGCGATTCCTCCCTGGAACGACAGGAACAAGTATTCCCAAATATAACTTTCAACATTTGGGTTATGACATGGACCCCTTGAGCATTTGAACAAATTACCCCATGTTTCTCATTGATGACGCAGAGAAGTCAACATATACAAAAACTTTAGACTGATGCGTATACTTAACTGTGAAAATTATTTCTGAAGTTCAGAACCCACCCAAAATGTAACTTAGTTTTTCAGCCCCACTTGTTATCTGGAGTACTGTATTGTTGTGTTTTTATCTAGGTGGAAGTAGCTTCTGGTCAAGCTTGAGAGAACTTACAGCTTGCAGGATTGACTTGCTGTGTCTGCGAGACAGCATCTCTAGAGCTGTGAGAGCTTGTTCAGCGACATCCATACACTGAATGACTTGCAGCTGAAACAGATCAATCCATCATAGTTCTCAAGATATGTCATCATCATCATCATCATCATCATCATCATCATTTTTTGTTATTAAACATGGGCTTCAGACTAGTGCCTATATTCCTTAGAATGATATCTTTACCATTAATCGTATTCAAATAACTTCCATGGAATTGCATTTTCCTGGAAACTTTAGCAACAGATATACAAACTGAATCAAGCTGTAATTGTTACCTTCTCTAAGAAGACTGGCACAGCATCCACAACAACTGCAGAGGACCGGGGCAGAGCCTCCATCATGTAGGTGAGAGCACGACATGCATGGTTCATGATGTCAAAATTGTGTTCCATCTGCAGGAGGGTGATGAGGGCCGGCACCACCTGCTTCACTGGGTAACCCGCTAGGCTGTCTTCATTGCCCATCACCAGCAACTGGATGGGTGGAGGAGGAGAAGCAAGATAATAGGAGTCAGTGAGTTGGGTTCAACGCCACTTTCACAGTATGTCAGTTATATCCCAGTGTGCCAGCTTGATTTGGAAAGAAGCCTAAAGTGATGCAGGTCTTAGATGTTTACCACATTGGTGAAAGCCAAGAGCATGGGCATGGTGCAGACAAACTTTGGGGCCACAATCGCAGGTTCCAAGCACACCCAAAGGACATAACGTACTGTGGCGCACCCAAACCCACACCATAATACTAAACAGTAAATGAAGAGCATAGATGGGTAACAGAAATATGTTTGTTTAGGTTACATTGAGGAATTTAGGCCGCGGCGGCCATACTGAAAATCAGATTTCAGCATCATCCAATTCACGTATCATAATTAGAGGCAACAAGCATGCCAAGTTTCAGCTTCATTGGTCCAGTGACTTCTGGGATGTTTACAGGCAGCATCAGGCTGTGACAACCAGGCTGTTGCTCAAGCTCACTTGACTTCAAGGCATAAGTTGGTGGAATCTACTCACCTGACACATTTCCATGACGGCAGTGAGTTGCTGGCCCTCATCACCCGAGGCCTGAAGACCCTGGAGCAGCTGCTGGACCTTGCTCACTGCAGAACACAAGGTGACATCATCAGAGTCACACATCTCCCACAGCAGAACAGGTAGAGGGAATGATTCAATGAAGCTTATGGTGAGGCTGATGAGAATTATACTGTATGACTAGCAGAAATGATTAAAATAATCTCTACTTATGTACCATGAAAAGAAGCTGTGCATTTAAGCAAAGAGCTAAACTACAAGCGCATAGTGAAAAACTGGAAACTGATCCAAATAGATTACACATGGTCAACTGGATCTATTTTCTGTAATAAAACATGAGTGGTTTGGTATCTTTACTAGGTGTATTGGTAACGTTTCCACAATGCAGAATCTTGTGACCAGATAAGATGTGGACTTACTGGTTCCCCCACTCATGGTTCTGTGGAGTAGCTGATGCATACGTGGTCCTAGTGCCCCAAACAGGTGAGATGGCAGGCCCCGGGCTTCAAGCAGAGCTGAAACACGTGTAGAACAGAGCAAAGGTGCCCTCATAATACAGCACTACACCAACACTACACTCACTCTGTGGCTCTAGGGACAGGCAGGCTGGGAGGGATCACAGAGCAGAGAAGAGGGGTCCTTTTAACAGGGAACAATACAACTACAACCACCCTGTACGTCTCATTTTCAGGTCAAGAAGAAAGGCATTACGAAGACAGGATCATCTCATCATCAACGGTATGGTTGTCTTCTTCTTGTGACAACATCCTCATCCATACTACTGAAGAGGCTTGTGGTAGAATTATGACAAGATGTGTCTTGGAACCCAGAACAGGTGCTTTCCCTTTGTTGGTGGTAACAATGTGTGGGGAGGACAGTACTGCATCTTTTCCAGTGGGATGCAACTCTTTGCCTTATGGTGTGTATCAATACATCTTTGTGAACATGTACAGCATGTAATTGCTTACGAATTCCAAGCAATGATACATCAGAATTAGATCCAACTGACGAGCCAAAAGTAAACCTTTTCGCAAAGTACCATCTCTAACAAAGACTTTCATGGTTTGAAGTAAAAAGGTATAACAGGAGACATGAAAAGTTTTCAAATGTTTTCATTTCTTCACAGATAAATGATGCTCATGTATTCAGTAGTCCTGATAGGCCACAGGAACGTCATCCATGAAAGCTGTTATTACATGACAAAATTAACCTTCTTTGCAAATAGGAAACAAATGGGAAAGGAATACTATTTCATTAGCAATTTTCAATTATTTTCCACTTTTATTAACATATTACTTTGAACATCTTGATTCATATGGGCAAATGCCAACTGGTCAGTACCTCGCCTGTCATGTCATCCATCCACATAGTTACAGGGGGAATCTTTACTCTCCATATCACTCCTCATCTTCTACAGTTATTAGCCACAGGGATTCTAACACCTAAAGTCCTCCACTTTTTCCTTAAGCCATCTCAGCTCTCATCACAGACTTACAGTTGTAACCCTAACATCCCTTGGTATAATGAGGGTCAGGTGTATCTTTAGGAAACAGGAGGCCGCTACTTGGACCCAATTTACCTAATAATCTCTGAATCCTAAACAATGGCCTTATCAGTAACACATCTTGGAATGACCTAACCAGGCTTATTATTCCTCTCTACATATACAGAAGGTGCACTCAAGTGAAACAACAATACACTACAAGGTTGACAAGAAGATAGCTCCATTATGACATCCAGACACAACAGACACTTATCTGCATCTATCAGGATCTATGTCACAGGGGTTCAAAATTCTTTCAGAAGCATTTTGGTACCGGACCTCTTGCCAAAAAACATCTACATGCCAAAATGGACTTTGTCTGGTCACACTCATTATTTCCTTAAAAACATAGTTTTGCCCAAATCCTACACTTAGAATACTGTGACCAAAATGTTCATCAGACTTCTGTGCATGCAAGTTATGAAATTTACATTCAAACTCTTTTGATCATGTTCTTACACATGTTAGAAATGAAAAATGGCAAGAAAGAATACATTTGTAATGGAAACTTTGTCAAATTACTGGACAGTCAAAATTTTGGATTGGACATTTTCTGTAACTGCCCAATCAACACAGCTCATTACTTCAGTGTTGGTTTGTTGATGTGTAAACCTCCAATACTTCATCACAGTGCAAATTTGACCTTAAGACCAAATCCAAACTTTTTTTGTAACACCAGTGAACGAAATAAGCTGGTCAATCAGACTTTTCACGAATAAATTGCTTGGTTCCATTTATATATACACTGGTTCAGGACCTCAGACCTGTAGAATTTTTAACCCCTGGATGTTTGCAGAGTGCTTCTAAATTTAATTTGACAGTTTTGGTGTAAAACTAGTAAATGATGTATGTGCACACAAAGAGCTGAGTTATTGAATTGTTATACCTTGCAGTAAGAACCAAGGAAAGCTAATACGAATATCAGACCTAGGCAAAAGAAGATGGTTTCAACTAAATGAAATGATGAAAGAGGTGAAAATGAAATTATTGGTTACATAAGGCAAATAATTGAATGAGACAGGCAAACAAATGTGACCAGCAGCAACTCGTCACTGTACTGCCCATGCGAGGAATTACAAGTGGTTGTAAACTAGACTGACCTTGAAGCCGGCCCATGTCAGTGTCATCTGACTCGCTCTCCGACGTCATGTTGGTCGGTCCACCGGACCCCGGGGCTGAAACAATAAACAACTTATTAGATTCATCTTGTATTGCCACTTCAATTTTTTTCATAATTCCGGGTTGAAGAAAGGAAAAAGAAGTCATAACATGGCCAAAAGTCCACCTATCTGTGACAAATGAAATGTGGAAGGACTGATAATTTTCTACTTAATTCTTGTTGGATATACTGTTAAAAAAAGTTAAAGAACACACAAATTTTCATTTGGCTGGTAGATATTGCAACACACAGCCTTCCAATTGTTTGAGGTCTTGAACTTGTTTTGCTTTGTCCATCTTGAACCATATTTGTAACTGATGCTGAGATGTTCGACGTTGATATAGCAGGACAATGCAACTCCACAAAACAGCATAAAGATCAAAGTCTCAATAAATGATGATGTCTTTTAGCCAGACTAGAAAGGAAACGGTTCAACTAAAGGTATCAATACTCTAGTACTGAATGATGATAGGGGTGAATGATCTTAAGTTTTTTTCCAGGACCACATAATGAACCGTCTACTATCAGGCAGATAATATTTCCACTTTTTGCATGATCCTGTAATAAAAGGCAGATTATTTGTGGGATGTTTTTACCCACAGCTATTGAGCTAAGCTTCCCAATAATCTAAAAGAGATCTTACCCCTTTGAGGCTAATCTCAAATCATGAAACGTAAACTTCAAACACAGTAGTTCAAATCTTAGCAAAGACCTTTCAAACCTCTTATAAACAGCACTGAAAATACAGCCCATACAGACATGATATCAGTCTTAAAGGCACTATCATAAACTTGTTTTCAAGATGAGCAATCTAAATTCAATCTCATAGTAATTCTATTACTTGTAAAGGTTAATATTTCAGTAAAAATAGATGTCATCCAGAACTACCATATTCGCTGTAATAAGTGCCCTGGACAGAGCGGTAGTGAAACAAACTTCAAATGTCAATGAAACCTAAACTTTTTTGATAATAGAGTCACTAGTCCATTTGACTAGATAGATAGATAGATAGATAGATAGATAGATAGATAGATAGATAGATAGATAGATAGATAGATAGATAGATAGATAGATAGATGTAATAACAAGCAACAGATGAGGTAACTACTGATACTTAACAAGAAATTATTATTAACGAGTAAATCCAACTGAAATGAAATTTGAAAAATTTCAAACCTATCCTAAATAAGCCATTTGCCAATCCCACGGAGATATGAAAAGAATTTGGAGAAGAACTCAATGCTTGTAAACAACTTGCTCACCAACAGGATCTGTTAATGGGGGACCTCTGCAATATGGCAAAAAGTTATCCTATTTCTAAAAGTTACATTAAGCTACAGTTATAAATATTCCGTTACAACTTGAACTTCAGTGTCTGTTGGGATAGTTCTGGTTTTACAGATATTGGAAAGACAAGCAGATGGAGTCAATCTCACTTAAATAATGATGAATGATGAAATTGTTTTTATATGTGTCAGTCTTTATATGTGTCTTTTTATGTTCTGTAGGAAAATACACTATAAAATACAATAAACAATTGTTAGAATTTATCTTAAGAATCTAATCACATATCATGAATCATTCTTGTAATTCTCATCATACAGGTTATGTAACACTTGTATGATTCTAAAAGAAACATTAACAGATAACGGAAAAGACAGCTGACACAGAGGTGTTAGCAAAAGGGAGGTAAGCAATTTTCTTTCATAGAGAACATTTATTTCTCCTATTTCCGTACATGATCAGTTTCACTGGTTGCCGACACTGTTACAAATAGGAAACAAGTCATAACCAAGGCCAACATGACCTCCCAGAGCATATGGGTTGTTAACAATACAGAGATATGAACATCACCCTTATCACACGTTGCTAGTCCTGCCAATCAAATGTGGCAAGTTTATCAGAACATCTGGCAAGTTTCTACACAATTGTTCATCTAACCTACCTCAACACAACCAGCAACAAGTACCAGGAAAGTGATCAACTTGTCACCATCCTTGTAGCAGTTTGCCTATCAGCCATGTCCGAGTTAAGCTGGTTGAGTCACTAAGTCCTGTGTAGTCTGCACACCTAGCTTGGCTGACACAGGTCAAGTGTTATCTAATTCACTGACAGGTAGACAAAATGATTCAACTATGACCTCTTTAACCCCAATGTCAACGAGAATGTAAACTGTCAACTTCGCCTAAATTACATTATGCAGTATTCGAAAATAAGTATGAACATTAAGGGGTCATAAACCTAATGTAATTGTTAAAAAAAGGGTGTCCAAGTTTGAACAACTTCAGGTGCAAACTTCAAGGGCATCGGGACGACACCCAGTTATCAGTCATTTAAAAATTTCCTACACAATTTCAAGTTGAGTTTGGACTGCCTTTGTCAGCATGGATAGAATTTTTTCTATTTTTTTATTTGCTTCCAACAACAGGAAACTGATTTGACTCTTGACTGTGGTTTGTTTGTCATTTAAAGCTGCACTCAGCAACATTCTAGCCATATGATGGTGGCCTGTAAATAATCAAGTCTGGACCAGACAATCCAGTGATTGACATGAGCAACTATCTACACTATACGGATACAATGACATGCATCATCCAAGTCAGTGAACCTGACAATCAATCCTGCTAGTGACTGACTGACTGACTGAGTACGGTTTTACGCTGCTTTTAGCAATATTCAAGGAATATCACGGCGGGGGACACCAGAAATGGGCTTCACACATTGTACCCATGTTTGGAATCGAACCCGGGTCTTCGGCGTGATGAGCGAACGCTTTAACCACTAGGCTACCCGACCGCCCCAATCCCGCAAGTGGCCTCTTATGACAAGCATTGGTTCCTGAAGACTATGGCTGTGTATTGACCTGGATTTTGTATTGCAATATATTGCCTTACCTTAACCTGTATTGCGATATGTTTTGCAATATATTGCCAATTTACATTTTCATGAGTTAATCAGCGTTATACCCTGTATTAATGTCAGATACCATCAGTCAGTGTCCCTCACTATTTTTCTTTTTCAGTGAATAAATGTATGATAAAGAGATTAAAGAATAAAAATAAAACAAGAGGAGCTTGATAGTCGCGTTGTGTACACGCTTATTGATAAAAAATCGTCAGAGGCAAGTTGTATCAGAAAGATACTATTTTCCATCTCCATATTGATTAGGAACACATAAATATACTTATTTATATTTGCCCCAATATATTGCTACATTTACAAACATATCGCAATACGTATTGCTGAAGATATGCACCACAATATACCGGTGTACAGGTTATACTGCACACCCTAACTGAAGACCAATTCTGACCTGGATCTAACTGAGGTCTCTGAACGTGAGCTGGTTTGAAAGTTATATATTATATCATATTTAATACTGGTTCCTTTGACGTGAAAAAAGTACCTAAATAGAAACATGTAAGTAACAAAAGGCACCTGTTTAGCTCTTGGTTGAGGTGTACAAATTTCACAACTCAATCTTTCCAATTTTCTGTATGTGAAAATGGATGAATAGGCAGACACAAAAAGCACTTCCTCTATGCCTTCCCAACCGGACCCTCCTCCATATTTGTTGCATGGGAGGGGAAACAACTGAACTGAAGACCTATCAAATAAAGGAACTCAAATATGCAATATCCTTATCCATAATAGATATCAGCCAAAAATTATTAATAAGCTTATGTTAAAGATGTCATTAGTTACATAGAAACAGTGAATTACATAGAAACAGCATCACTATATGATTGATCTTGATGTCAAATCAAACCTAAAGCCAAACACTCATACAAAATGACAATCCTTGTAAGATAAAATTGCTTGTCTGAGAACAAGTTTATACAGACCAGATATGATTGAACTTGACTGTACACATAATGTGATGTCTATCAATACCAACATACAGATTAGATAATAATATTGTCACCATCTGAGGCAAGACATTTCAGGATGAAATAAATTATGTAACAGAGTTGCATACGCAACATGGTAAATATGGATAAAAAAGTATCTGAAAAATATTTGTCATTTTTTTTTAAGCTTAACAATAAGTCCTCCTTGGGTGAAAAAATGGTAAATAAGTTCTAATGATTAGATAACTACTCATCTGTATACCATATATACAGTCAAGTCCCGTTAATCTGACATGGCTGGTTGCATATGATTATGTCGGATTAAAGAGTATGTCGGACAAACGAAATTACCGTAAGTAGTATCAACGTTTGTGATCGAAAATCGGATAAAAAATATATAAATGAAATATTCATACTGTTACGTTACATTGTAAGCGGAATGTTTTCTTATCATGCAACTTCTAAACAAAACAACTGTTACGGACTGTATGACTTATTCAAAATACTTCAAAAAGCATAGTCTGGAAAGGAAGTCGCAAGTTTGAAACTGGTCCTGCAAAGCTTAAGAAAGCTATTTCCTAAGTGGCTAATGTTGACTTCCTGTAAGTCACGTCATTGGTCAGTCATAGTTCGCGAAAGGTTGTCCCCTGTAATGGGATGTCCTCGATGATAGCGAGAACTTGTATCTGATTTTAATGAGATTGAGGTAATCTAAGCCTGTGATTAATCCTGTGTTCTTTATTTAAAGCATTAATTGTTTATCTCTGCAGCTGTTGTAATATGCAACTACCAGCCGACTCGTCTTGCATCATGACACGGGCTATGTACTCGCGGGCAGATGACCACTGAGCACGCTGATCACTGTGTCGGATTAACAAGACTGATTAATGAGTGATTTCGGTAATTCGTTGCAAATTAGTAGTGTCGGAATCGGAGTGCAAAACTGTCGGTTTAAATAGCATTGGTTTGTAAGAAAACATTTAACATATATTTGTAGATCATTAAAAAACAGCATTGCCTTGGCAAAGAAATCAATAATTAAGAGTGAGAATATAGAAAATTCTGTCAAATTTGGCATTCAACATCATTTTCAGTAGATTATGGTCTTGACGTGGACTAGTTTTAGCTGAGCTTACAGGACCAAATAGAAATTGTCTAGACTCTT